CTTTGCAGTAGTCGACTCTTATTTCCGGAAGACATCATCGATCCAGAGATGGATACCGTCAGGAAACTTGTTCATGCTATAGCTAGCCAGTATGTTGGTGTTAGCATTGTGCCAGACCGACGTTCTGACAGGTGGCTCATTGTTGGTATCTCCCATTTCATGACAAACACATTCATGAAGACCCTTTGTGGAAATAACGAATTCATGTTCCGTCAGAAACTGAATACAGACCGGCTTGTTAAGCTGGATATTGACAGACCATCCCTGCATGCCCTAGGTGAGATTGTGGATGTCTGTGACGCCTTTCGAGTTCATGGAGTTGAAGGCACCGCTCGTTCTGTTCATTTTGGACAAACGTATTGCCAAAGCACAAGGAGGCACTGGTATCTCAAGAGTCATCTCTAAGATGATTGTAAACGCAAATGCTTCTGGAGGCGCCGACTCTACAATCTCGACGGAAGGGTTCCGTAAGAGCTGTGAGAAAATCACCAAGTACAGAGATACTGATTCCTTCTTCACTCAATGGGTTCTTGGCGCAGGATGCCCACACTTTACTATCACACAAAAGTTCAACAAAAAGAGATTATGTGTTGAAATGACCATTACACAAACCCAGGCGAACTCGGAGACAGAACTTAAGTTGCACAAGGATGGCTTCTACAGATCTTTCAAGGAATCGACAGCTGGAGTAATTGCACCAAAGGCACAGAACGCATTTACTGGACCGTTGACCATTCGAATTCACGAGGCTGATGGTACTCCCTACGAACATATAGTTATGATCAGAGAGAAGACATCAAGAATTGAAATTCCGTACAACACCAAATACAAGCGCCTTAAGCGCAATAGGCGTATGAAGGAACGTGCAAATGCAGGCATTGCCATGGATATCAATGCCGAGAACCATGACGATGCTCTCATCTACTGCTTAGGGGATGTTCTCCAGTCACCGCAAGATATCCAAGAGTGGGGTTTACGAGATTGGGACCCAGCCACAGAAGCCAAGATGGAAGCCGAATCGTATGAATGGATTCGTGTTGATGCTGACTTTGAATGGATATGCGATAAGAAATTCACTGGTATGGAGGCATACATGTATGTTTCTCAACTTCAGCAAGACCGCGATATCTCGGCTCAATATGAGTCGATGGCGTACCTGGATAATGCTCCTCCTCATCCGCTCGTTGCCACATTTTTGATTAGAACTTTAATGGACCGGCGCTATTTTTATGGCATTAGGACAATGGCTGCAAAGTCTCTTGCTAAACATGCTGTAGAGAAAGACGTAAAGTGGATAGGTCTGACTCACCTCGAAAAGGCTTTCCAAGAGTTCTTTTGCTACCCTGGTACAAAGATGCCTAGATCGAATGACTTTTCCGATAAGCAAGCTTATTGGATCGAATGCGCCATTCCCGAGGCTATGTCAAGGGTCAGAAGCTTATACGATTCTCTCTGCCCCAAAAGAGCGCGACAGTTCATACTTGACCAGCTTCGCTTCAACGACAACGGAAACAATGACTATTCGGACAACTTCAAGGTTGCAAACCTTTTAAAGTCATTGGCAGACTCATTGATTCCTGGTGATAAGGGTATCAATAACGATGCACTTCAACTTGACGAGGCCGAAGAAAAGGACGAGCCTCGGGAGTTCAAGAATATCGTTTTGGAGGAGCTTGACAGATATAGTAGGATGGATGAGTGGATAGATTCATATCAGAATATCTATACCATCACAGTCATAGAGTGCAAACTGAAGTTGATGAATGCAGGTGTCATACCAGTGGATGCACTTGACTTTGCTCAATACCTTCACGACGGAAGTTCTCCAAATGTACGAATCAAAGCGTCTTGGGCACTTGCTGACCTTGGATTCTTGAAAAACACTGCTGTGGCATGTCTACTCGTGACTGCTATGAGTACAGATCCGTCGCCATGGGTTCGAGGTGAACTTACAAAGGCGTTCTATTATGGATTGGGAGTCCTGGGACTTGGTGAATACAAAACTAAACGAGTTGCCGCTCCTGTGGCCAAGGATGGCTTAATTATCGAAGAAGCATCCACGAGTGCACGACAGGAGCAAGCAGAGCGGAGTAACATAATAGGTGCGCTTGCTTCGCTAAAGTTGGAAGTCGGCGGAAACACTGATTTGAAAAATGCCTTGTGGAAAGCTGTCCTATCTCCTGTGATTACTGTGGCAGAGCAAATGGATTTCCTTGACCTCTGCACCATGTTTTGTTACCCTAAAGAGTCTTTGAATTTGAAGCTAAAGTATCCTCGTTATTGGAGAGCCGAACACCGCGGGAAGGTATGTCATACGAGATTTTTAGCGTTGATGCTTTTATACTAATTTTATCTAGGGTCGAATGGTTTTTAAAAAAACCAAAAAAGTTCGTACAACTATCGTGGAAAGAATTGTTCCAAGCAAGATCAAAGCCCTTGCTGCCCCCCAGCCACCTGTACCCTCACCCACCGTCGCCGCTCCCTCTGTAGGACCATCAGCAGAGAGACCAACGATGCCTCTTAAGCTCAAGATTGGCAATTCTTCTGCCCTGAAGCTAAACAATTCACCTGCTCTGAAGCTAGGCAATTCTTCTGCTTTGAAGTTAAGCAATTCACCTGCTCCAAAGGTAGCTAATCCACCTGCTCTAAAGCTTGGCAGTTCACCTGCTCCAAAGCCAGCTAATCCACCTGCTCTTAAATTTGGCAGCTCATCTTCTGGGCTCAAGATTGGCAGCACATCTACTGGGCTCAAGGTTGGCAGCCCATCTACTGTAGTTCCTAAGCATCCAGGCATTTCAGGTTCATCTGCTGCAACGCCTAAACATCCCAACTCTTCTGGGCCATTTGCTGGACCTCCTAAAACTTCTAGCTCTTTGGGGACAACTAAACATTCTAGCTCAGTACACAGCTCTGCAGGAACATCAAAACCCCCTGGCTTAGTAAAACTCTCAAGTTCTTCAGGAGATATGAAACCACCCAAACGACCTCTTCCGGCAGATATTGCGGAGAGTTCTAATTTATTACACAAGGATAAGAAACAATTTGAGAGTTTCAATTCATCACACAAGGATAAAAAGCCAGCATTGATTGTCAAACTCAAGGTTCCTGCTTCCAAGTTAAAGCGGATTGTCTCATCACCTCGTAACTCTAAGACAAAGCTCCTTCCTCATCTCCATCCATGTCCAATCCGAGACGGCCGTCCCCCAAGCCATCACCAAAGCCATCCTCAAAACCTTCGCCGGCATCAACACAATCGGTCAGAGCTAGCCCTGCTCTTGCTTTTTCCTCTAGTTCATCGGGTCACACATCATCAAATGTCAAGAAGCCATCAAGTTCAATTCACGTCGCAGCACCTATCCGGAAACCTCTTCCCGAAGGCCGAAAACCTTTACCAGATTCGGCACATCATCTTCCCTCGGCACCCCCTACCCCTGCCGATGTACCCAAAAAACCAACCATCAAACTCAACTTTAAACCTAAACCCAAACCTTCATTCTCTTGATTTTATTATTTTATAGAAACAGAGAATGGAAATTCCTTCGTCTTTCCTCACCTCTTTCAAAGCTTTTCTTTTTCTTTCGGCATTTAATTGGTCTGCATTTAGTGAACAGGCGTCTCGGCAATAGTCTTTCAGCAAATTTGCATTTGGGGGGAACCGGATTCGTTTATTATCGAGGAGGTGTTTATCAGGAAAAGGAAGAAGAAAACTGGGGCGTTTGTGTGTGAACCTTTTTATTTCGCGCATAGGCATGTTATCATGACGTGAAAAGAGAACATGAGCTTTTACGTTCTTGGAAGATCCTCCAGAAGAGAGGATTGAGTCGAGAATTAGTGAGGGCAGCAAAGTAGTTAATGAATGCACAATTCAGATAGTTTACTGTCTCCTTTTTTATTTATGCGATATATTTCATGTGATGTGAGTTTTATAAGGTGACGCGACTCGACAGCTAGGCAAAGAGTGGAGGTTGATAGATGTAAGTTAGAATTTCACCTCACGTTGCTATTCTTCAAGTAATAGCAGTTATGGGATTTGATGTATCTAAAGTCTTGTAGAAGAATATCCCCTCCCTAATTATCCTCCAAAACGAAAGCAAGGATGAGGAAGAATTGAATTATCAGATTTGAATTGAGGGGAGGTTGAAGAGTATGTATTGATTCTTAAATTGGATTGTTTGGATTGGATTGGATGGGGGGAGTGAAAGGGGTGGGTTGGTTAAAGGTTCGCGGGAGTGAGGAGTGGTAGATATTCATCAGCTATTTACCTACTAACATACGATGTGGATGTGGATGTGGATGTGGATGTGGATGTGGATGTGGATGTGGATGTGGATGTGGATGTGGATGTGGATGTGGATGTGGATGTGGATGGGAATGGGAATGGGAATAGCAATGCTGAAGTAGATTTATGTAACGTTAGGGAGATTCGGATACCAGAATAAGTTGACGGGACTGGGAATAGAATTTAGGAGTTTAGTCACGATATAGAGAGGAGAGGAGAGAGGGAAGAGGTCGTGGGATGTGATGGGTGGTTGGAGAGAAAGTTAATGTAAATCTTAGAATGAGATTGGATCTCTCTTTGATTACTCGTAGAATAATCGGGGTTTCATCAAAAGCCAGCCTCGAAAATTAGAATACAGACTCCCGGTCTAATTTCTAGTAATTGTGGTGAAATATATCCTGCCTTTATCTCTCTGTATGTTATTGATATCTCGAGTGGAAGATGATGGAGAATGTAATCAATTCTTGTAATATACTTTTTATCACAACAAATTTATCGGCTCCCTATTCGCTTCCTGTGGTAGCAGATTCCCCTATAACTCCATCTCCATGCATCCTACCATGTAATCCAATGTATTCCAGCATCCATATTCATCTCCATTATATCCATCCATCATCCATGTCCCCAAACCAAAACCTACATCATCTCCCAGACGCACCCCATTTCCAGCTCCCAATCCTAACCTCTCCTCCCTATTCCTCTGTACCCTCGTTTCTCTCTCCAACACTCTACTCCTGTCCCTCTCTCTCGTCCTATCTCTCTCCGCCCTCTCTCTCTCAACCTGCCTATCCTCATCCCCGCTCAACTCATTTCCATTCCCTCCCTCTCCCCTCCTCTTCCTACATCCCTCTCCCTATGCGCCTCCCTCGAATCATCCAATCTCCTCTGTGCAGCCATCGTCTGCAAGTCCCTATAACCATCCCCTCTAACAACTCCATTCCCATAATGTGGTCTCTCTTTTGCCTTCCTATGGCGCGCCGCTGAAGCTATCGCTTGCGCTTCTTCTTCTTCTTCTTCCTCGCGTTCTGCTTGCCGCGAGTCTTCGTAGCTGGCTATATCTTCGCTGGTGAGAGTAATTCTTGTTGGGGCGCGACGAAGCATTTTGGGGGTGTGTCGGAGGATTTGTGATCGGTGGTGGGCGATTGATCGAAGTTGGATTTCGAAAGTGGCGGTAAAATGTATAATATGCTGTTTGCACTCTGCAATAATACGTCCAATTATGTTGTATTCGTAGCAAATGGTGAAAAGTATGCGAAAACAATATTCGTGAAGTCGATATCAATATGAATGATTATTTATTGATGTTTCCAAACCACTCAAGGCTTAAAAATGAAGGGACATTAACTTTTGTTGCACATTTGTCTGCAAATCCAAATAGGGACTCTTGGAAAAGTACAATTCTTTACAAATTTGCAATTTTCGAAGCTTTGCGATTTTGAAAAACTATCCGGGGAATTTTGAAAGAAATATTGTTGCAAAGACTTCTGAATGTTTTGAAGATTTTATGAGAGGCTACTATTTTGCCTTGCCTTGTTTACCTTGTTTACTTTGATGGACCGTGCAAATAAATACCTAGAATCAATAGCCTCACGCTCCGGCTTCTCAATTTATATGCATGCATACCTAAGGCATCAATAATATTTTCGCAGAAACTCCAGATTAATTAATAGAGGGGAAAAGCACGGCTGGAATCTCACAAGAACTCTTGCACATCATGTTTACGCGGCATGTGCAATCGGCCATTGGAGGTGGCAGACCTTTGACTCATGATTTGATGAGGGTGTCCGAGGGGATTCAGGCAAGTTTGAGGGCTTTTAGTAGCTCTGTTAGGAGGAGTGAGGAGGGGGATGGTAGGTTTCTATTCTATACTCTCTTGGAAGGTTTATGGGGATTACATCCATGGCTTTCATGACTAGAAAGTTGGCGTGGGACTTGGAGCTTCGATTAGAGGTTATGTTATAACATACTAACAATAACCAGATCAATTACGTTCCACACGCGCAGAACGCAGCTCTAACGCTGTAAACGATATTTCCTCACTCGCATCCCAGCCCTCTCGCGGAATCGATGCTCGCTCGCTGGCAGCGCGCCCTCCCCCTGGTCAATCTTTTGTTTTGTCCCGCCGTATAATTGATAGTCCCTCTCAGGGACGAGGACCAGCTACCCGACATAGTCCCAATTATCGCGGACGAGGTGGTGCCCTCTATGTACCACCAACCGGAGCCCGTAGAGGAGGTGCGAGAGCAAGTCCTGCTGGTGGAAGAGGCGGTGCCGGTAAACGAGGACGTGGTGGTATGAGGAGAGCCCGGATTACGGGACCAAAACCTGCGGATGTGGAATTAGATGAATATGATCCTCCATATACACTTGAGGAACAACAATACTTGGATAGTCAAGAGGGAGGTGAATGGGTATCATATAATCCCGTGACATCGATGGATGATTTGGAAAGTTGGGGACCGGCTATAGCGACTAGTGAAAGTACGAATGGGTTGAAGGAATCGATAATTTATAAGATGCAATTAGTGAGTGGTACACTAGGACAGAGAGATGTACCGACGCCGCCGGAAAGACATTTGGCAAATGTGGAGAGGGGCTTGGGAACGGTGTTTGAGAGTAGGGAGGAGAAGGAGACGTTAGAGAAGTGGAGGGATGGGAAGGAGGAATGGAGAGATGAGGTTAGGTGGAAGGTTCATAAAGATTATAAGATTGAGGGACTGAGGGATGAGGAGAAGGAGGCAATTTTGAAGGAAATGGTGGCAGGTGTGTATAAGAAACCGGGAGACGTGAAGGAGGATCTATTGAGAGAGATCGAAAGGATCACAGCGAAGAACGAGACTTTCTTAAAAGATGACTCAAGGTTGTTGGAGGAGAAGATTCAAAGCATGTTACCTGCTGCTTAGATAGCTGGTGTAAGGCAACAATAGCAAAAGGCAAAGGACCTACAATAAGGGTTGAGTGTACCGTATAGTGTATCCATAAAAACATATAAATGGCATTGTACAAACGCAATCATATACCATACAATAAGTCAACTTTTTAAACAACTCTATACCTTTACAATTCTAGCGTCTAATATTTTTGATCCCCAGTCCTACGATTGCTCCATCCCCTTCCTCGCCGCCTCAACCAACTTCTTAACCTCCGCATTCCCCTTCTCAACCACCTTTTCCATCTCCTTATGCGCCTTTTTCGAATCATCCGGTCTAACCGTCTTCTTCACCTCCATAGCCCTTAACTTCTTCTGCATAGCTCCTCTTGCATTACGTACCCCGTTGCCAGCCAACTCCCCTGCTTTTGAAGCTGCTTGTAGCGCTGCATCACGAGATTCTTTGGTAGGAGGTGGAATGGGAATATTCAGCGCGAGTGGATTTTGTGGATCGGGAACCGGTTGGAGGGATAGAGTGGGAGAAGATTGGATGGTGGAGAGAATCGGTTTAATGTGCTTAAAAAGGTGTTGGTTAATTTATTTCAAATGTAGGCAGGGAATCATTTAGAAAGGGGATAAAGCAAATGGAGAACATACATCTTTATCGCCAACAAGCACAACGACGCTCCTCCCCCCTTTCGGTAAAACCTGCGCCAAATCACCTAACCGAAAACTCTCCTTTGCATCTTTTCCCAATTTCACCCGTAATCCCTCTAATACCTCTGGATTAAAACGACCCCCCGTCCTCAACTTCCCAAGATCATTCTTGAGTTTCTCGAGGGACTTGTCAATACCGGTTTGGAGAGTGGAAAAATCAAAAGGATCATTTTCTTCTGCTGCCGAAGAGGAAGAGGCAGAGGAAGAGGAATTTTCAGAGGAGTCGGAAGATGATGATTTGTTGTTTTTGTCTTTTTTCTTGAGGAGGGGAATGGTATTTTTGAATTGGATGGAAGATGTACTACTGAGGTAGCGATGCTGAGGGGTATTTTCATAAATGTTTGGAGTGGGTTTGCTCAATTGGAGGGGTCGCAAGTCCAAAAGGGAAGCATTTCGTGAATTGGGATTTGTTAGAGACCGTCTTAATGACTCGACAGAACGAAAAGATATACGAGGCGGCATTTTGAAAAGAATGTGATGAGGAATTGGAATTGGGGAATTGGAATTGAATTGAGTTGAAATTGAGAATTTTAAGACGAGGCGGAATTGAGGCCTCGTCTATGTCGAAAATTATTTCAGCCTTGATGGATCTGCATGTTGGAAGGTTTAAGTGGGGTGGGGATGGGACCGTGCGTTTTACAACCTATCAACTGGTGAACGTTGAAAGCGAGTTTATCTAGTTGAGATGTTCAAGATGACTGGATTGATGTCGTTTAGAAGTTATGAAAAGGGGGGAATGAAAAGGGGGGAATGAGAAGGGGGGAATGAAAAGGTGAGAATGATCTTTCATTTTTTATACAGAAGTACTCGTAGAGTGGCAGGTAGCTACGAAAGGATACATCCACAAGCTTTCACATAACAAGAGTATCTACAAAAGTATAGTACTTTATCCGCAGAAGCCTTATTCGAACAACCTATGATCCCACTCTACCTATCTGCTCTCTTTATATCGATACACTGTGATAACTATAATGATAATGAATCCTTTAAACCTCTTCAAATTCAAGACCGGTCATCTCATAAATACAGAAATTAAGCATGTGACTTGGCTTGCTCAATGGTCCATTTACAAGATTGTTAAAAATTATAAGCATTATCCTTCTACATGTCACTTAACACCCAACAAATCAGATAGAATTGATTCGCATACCCACCAACCATGCCACTCTTCTACAAGTAAGTACTTAAGTAGGTAGCTAGGTAGGTAGGTAGGTAGGTATATAGGATTGGATAGGTATTACGCGTAAGATGTTGAACAATGTGATTGCTGGGAATTTGACATGTATCCATCCGATCTCGGTTCGTATTTCTTGAAATCTAGATTTGTGTCAAAGAGCTTTCTCACCTTGATCATGTGTTGACATTAAAATGTTTCTAAAATCCAAATATCATTTATATCAACAAGATCATCGTAGAAGTTTAGATTGTCTTTCTCTTTGACTCAGATCACATCTGGTGAGTTTCCATGGTCTCGACATGCCATCGCACCGGCGACCAAAGTAACGTCTCACAAACTAATAAGACTTACAACATTAGAGCTTCGGGCAGTGTTGATAATAGATGAACACAATTTCGATATAACAAAGCATGCAATGGAAAATGTTTAAAGTTTTTAATCTTAATCAATTTGTGAATTTTTTTTCTTATTAACAACCCTTGTTCTACAGACGATCTTTTTATGCCCGTAGACAAACGAAAAGAAATGTGAGGACCATAAAATAGCCAGATAGAAACCATGCAAATACCGGATAGTGACTTTTTATAAACCCAATGAGCCAGTAACCAGACGGTCCAGTTCATATCATCCATGTCATGAACTCATATGCATCAATAACCTCTTCCCTTGTTCCTCCCCGCCACATAACAACTCAAGTCCTGCTTAACGAGTGGACATGGCCTTGGTAACAGCTCTCTTCAATGCGAGCTCCTTCTTCTTCAAATCATCAGAAGTAGAATCCTCAATCTCGAGTTGAGCCATAGCATCGCTCAAAGCAGACTCAATCTTCTCCTTGTTACCACGCTTGAACTTGATGGACATAGTTGGGTCAGAGATAATTTCCTCAACCCTTGAAATGTATGACTCGAGTTGTTGTTTGGACTCGAATCTCTTGCTGAAAGCATCATCACTGTTCTTGAACTCAGCAGCATCTGCAACCATCTTCTCAATCTCGGAAGATGAGAGTTTACCAACAGAGTTGGAGATTGTGATGTTGGCACTACGTCCGGAGGTCTTCTCAGTAGCGGTAACCTTCAAGATACCGTTGACATCGACCTCGAAGACAACCTCGAGAACGGCTTCACCTGCCTTCATTGGAGGAATTGGGGCAAGGGTGAACTCTCCGAGGGAGGTATTATCCTCACAGTTGACACGCTCACCTTGGAAGACTGGGAATTGAACGGTCTGTTGGTTGTCAGAGACAGTGGTGAACGTTCTCTTCTTGATAGTCTATTGAAATCACCGAGTCAGTATTGCTATTCTTGAGTGAAACGAGGGAGAAAGGTGGTATTGGAAAATAGGAACTATTTGATCGAGGAAGAAAAATTGGGGCTTGAAGTCTAGTAGCGAGTAAAGTGGAGCTTGTAGTGTGGGAACAGAACTGTGTGAAAGACAGCAAGACTTGTGATTGTTTACGTACTGGGACAGTTTGACCTCTGGTAACAACAGGGGCGAAGATGTTACCCTCCATGGCAACACCGAGAGAAAGAGGAACGACATCCAAAAGGAGGAGGTCAGCGGTCTCGGCAGAGGTAGCCTTTCCTGAAAGGATACCGGCTTGAACAGCGGCACCGTAAGCGACGGCCTCATCAGGGTTGATGCTCTTCTCCAACTTCTTTCCGTCAAAGAATTCGCTCAAGAGCTTTTGAATTCTTGGGATACGGGTAGAACCACCGACAAGGACGATCTCGTCAACCTTGCTCTTGTCAATGTTGGCATCCTTGAGAACCTGAGCAACAGGCTCCAAAGTACCGCTGAAGGCCTTGGAGTTAAGGTCCTCGAATCTGGCACGGGTGATTTGAGCGTTGAAGTCCTCACCATCGAACAAGGAGTCAATCTCAACGTTGGTGGAAGCACCGTTGGAGAGGGTTCTCTTGGCACGTTCGCAAGCAGTTCTGAGACGACGGAGGGCACGGGGGTCGTTGGACATGTCCTTCTTGGTCTTTCTGGTGAACTCCTTCTTGAAGTGCTCAAGCAAGTTGGTATCGAAATCTTGACCTCCCAAATGGGTGTCACCGGCGGTAGCCTTAACAGTGAAGACACCACCTTGGATGTTGAGGAGGGAAACATCGAAAGTTCCACCACCGAGATCGTAGATGAGAACGTTGCGCTCCTTGTTGGACTTTCCAGCGCCAAGACCGTAAGCAATGGCAGCAGCGGTAGGCTCGTTGATGATACGGAGAACGTTAAGACCGGCAATGGCACCAGCATCCTTGGTAGCTTGACGTTGGTTGTCGTTGAAGTAAGCTGGGACAGTGATGACGGCCTTTGAGACCTTCTTGCCCAATTTAACTTCGGCAATTTCCTTCATCTGTTGTTCAAATATTGTCAGCACATCGGTTAGCGAGGGGTGGGGTGAAAAAAACTTGCCTTGGTCAAAACCATGGATGAGATCTCTTGTGGGGAGAAGATCTTCTCCTCTCCAAGATACTCAACTTGGACGAATGGGGATCCATCTTGATCAATGACAGTGAAAGGCCATGATTGGATATCCTAAGATGCATGTTAGTGATTGCTCATGATAGAGGCTATCTGGAAAAGAGATAGAATTCATGTCGGAATGTCCAAACAATTTCGAACATTGGGAATTGTGATGAAGAATCAATTAAATACCTTGGTGGTGTGGGGGTCATCGAATCTTCTTCCGATCAAACGCCTGCGCATCCATTAGCACCTTGTTGTCGTCGCGAAATTCGTCATACTGACTTGATATCGAAGATGGTGTTCTTTGGGTTCATTGCAGCATTGTTCTTTGCAGACTCACCAATCAAACGCTCCTTGTCGGTGAAGGAAACGAAAGATGGGGTGGTGAAGCTACCTTGCTCGTTGGCAACTGATGAAATCTATCAGTATAATATTTCGAAAGTCGAAGTCCGATTTGCGACATCAGATGCCCAGAAGAAGGGGAATACGTACTGATCTCGACATTGGTTCCCTCGTAGTTGGCAACACACGAGTATGTGGTACCTGTTGGTGGTAGAATGAATTAGCATTCGTTATTGATATTGAGGAAGAATTGCGAAAGATTTCAAGGTGTTGACAAAGAGAAAAGAAAAGTATGCCCCTCATCAACGAGTCTTTCAAAAATTCAAAAATTGTTCTCTTACCAAGATCGATACCAATGGCACCCTCGTAAACTTCGTCAGCCATTTTGAAGAATGTGTTAGGTTGAAGGAAGGATGTATGAGGGGGAAAAAACTTCAAAGAAGAGGGTATTGATGAAAAACAAAAAAGAAGTTTTGGAAGTTTGATGGCGGGGAGGGAAAAGATAAAATTCCCAAAAACCCAGTGGGATTTTTTTCATAAGCTAAATCATTTTGTCCGTGCGTTTCGTCGCCTCGCTCCCACTCTACAGCACGTGATCATCCTCCCATGTTAAATTTTTTGGCTTATTTTCTTCGAGATCCAAAATCAACAAGCAAAAATTTTCCAAATTTTCCTGTTTACCCACTAAACTACTGTAGGGTCTGTTCCCATGTTTCCTCCGTGGCTAGTTATCCAATGTTTAGTGAGTTCAGTGGTGCAATGTGGAACCATTCGAACTCAGATTTGATTGAATGGCAGAAATTTGATCGTTGACCTGCCTATTAAAATTCAATTGTTTGTTTGCCGATCAGTGAGTGAGAACCTTAGTGATAGCGGGGTGATAACGGCGTAGTGAGAAAAAGAGTTCTGCAGGCTCTCATCGCAGGACATACCGGTACTAGTCATAGCTACCTACCTACCTAGAGACGTCGGATTGTGTGAGCACCCACACGTCTTTTATGTTTGAATTGTCTGCTTTTCATATCTATTCGATAAAACCCCCAGTAACATCTTAGGGTTAGGGTTCGGAACATATGAGTTTAAAGAGTGAGAGGCGAAGAAACTCTATATTTGGGCTTCGATCTTCTTTTTACTCTGTAGAATATCACATAGATGATGGCATTAATTGTCTGCTTTCCGTTGGACCATTCAAAGACCAATTTCTTGAAGGGTATTCGGGATAAATCACAGGAGATTTACAACAGCGATTAACACATATTGATGACTGTCTAAGCCATATTCCCTACGGACATTCATGACGATGATTTGATGGAGGAAAGTTTGGGGCCAATATCTCAGAGGAAATACTGTAAATCCACGCGAAACGTGATGATTTGAAGGGCTTATGCTGCCTCCATATAATTCTAGTATTTCATACCAAAATTAGCACATCTATTCTCCAGCAACAATTCGAGCATTGCAAAGTTCCCATTCCCTACCATCAACCAATACAGAACAGCTGAAATCATAACCACACCAAAAGTAAACTTTGATGCAGATACATAATGGATAATTGAAAATGCCCGTCCGACGAATTGGTCAGTAAACCAGAAAATACAACTGCAAACATCCCCTCATCTCTACACAAAACAGAACCCGATATTCCAACTCCCCTGTGTTTCTTAAAAGATAAACAGTATAAAATAGGATATGGGTAGAAGTGATGATTTGCCATAGAGAGGATGGTATATATGAGTAGCATGATGAGACAGGAAAGAAACGAAACGAAATAGAATAGCACAGTACAGTACATACATCAAAAGCCGAACAAGCCAGACCAAGAATTCGGTTAAGAGAAGGGGAAGCAGAGCAGATAAGATTAATTGGCTTAGAGAAGAGGGGAGCACCGAGTATCTTATTTATCTTTCTCTACATTGAAAGAAATGAACGAGAGGTTGAAGTAGCTCCTTAGATAGGAAGCAAAACGGGAAAGGGAAGTCGTACTGAAAGAAAAGAGGATGAAGATATAAGTTACTTGAAAGCGTTTCACTATGGATGGAATCAAGTCCTTTCGAATCATTCACCTTCAGATACTCGAGTAGAATTGTAGAGATCAGAAGACGACTACAAGAACACTCAATCCACCATCCTAGGATTGAAATAATAAATTCCCTCAGTCTTCAAATCGTACTGAACCAAGAAAGTATTCTCGATAGATGTTGAAATACTGTTCAGAATTTGAGAGTCTAAAGGAAGACCTACACGCATCGAGTTTGAATATCAAATTGGTATCACCAAATACATAATCAAAATGCCCCAATATATGAACAAGACAGGCCATCAAAGAGGTATCATCTAATTCTTAGTAGTAACCAGTAACTAACTTTACTCAATACGTTATCAAACTAGCCACCATTTTATAGCCCATCTATGCAAAGTTTCCTCTCAAGGAAATGTCGAATATCTCTAAAGAAAAAACTCCGTACGCTATGCTATGTTAAACTATCCATAAACTCCATAAATTTTGTGTCTCCCAACTAAAGCTCATCGAAATTTGGCCGTACGATCGTCCATTGCCTAGGAGATACTGGAAGACCAATATAAAATTCCCAAAATCTGGAGATCTCGAGTACAAAGATTTCCCAGCTATAGAAAGTGTAAGCATTGCGGCTAGGAATTGTAAGTAGTTGTGGGGGTACATACATAGTTAAGGGGAATCTGACCCACCCCCAAATTACATATTTGGTTACATTCCACGTCAATCTTAATTCCTTCCAAATGAGATCCGAGATGTTAGGGATTTCACGCTTCAATCTTGCCTCCTCATCATAGTCCGCAAAGTCTTTTTCTATTGGATCTTCACGAATGGCATTATGTGGCTGCGTCGCACGATCCGTTAACTCAACAGCCTCTTTAGCCTTGTTATCTTCGGCTTCAACCAAAGTTCGGAACTCGTTGATAGCGCGGAGGGAATGTGAAATACGACCCAAGGTGTTGAATAAAGCGACGAGTTCGGTTCGTTTCAACATTGGAACATCTTTCGAGTTATTTTCCGTTTCGAATAAAACTTTCAGCGCTGCTCCATAACCTGCGGTTTGAACCTTTCCCCATAGTCGGCATTTATCACAACCAACACAATCCATGATTCGACTAACATTTCTGAAGCGATTGCGGAAGTCTTCTTTCAGACTCGGACCCTCGCCATTGACAAACATCAAGCTTTCATCAAAGATTTGGGTTTCTTTTGATGCTTTTGAAATCAAGGTTTGCACCTTGGATTGGGTGAGCTGATCTTGGGCCGGATCACCTGAACAAAAAGTGTAGTCTTCGAGGGAGGGGCCGAGTTTTGTGATGGCTCGTAAAACAAGAGCGTAGTTGAAGTAGAGATTCGAGACACGTTCTGGAAAGCCATGTAGGCGATCCTTGTAACATTGAAGATTTAAGCCCCATAAACCGGTGGTTTGGTTCAAATACTCGTAGCAAAGATGTGTGCTGATGGAGGTGTGCATGCCGGAAATGACCCTATAAAAGACACGCTTTTCCAAACACTCATCTTCCAGTTCGAAGCCAGTTTCTGCTACGAATGGGATGTTTGGGGAGTGCTCCCGTTGTTCTTCCAGAATGTGTTGACGGCCACGTTGTTTGAGAACAGTTTTAAGTTCATTCGCTGCAGGTTCTTTCAAAGAAAGTGGGGAGTGTCCAAGAGATGCCGAGTGAGGAAAGGATGCTTTCGAAAAGCAATTCTCTCGATATATGGCATCCCAAACTTGCTTTGCCCCCTCACCAGTATATCCAGTAAATCTTTCCGGGTTGTCTACCAAGCTCACATAGTCTCCCTTCGAACCGGCACCTTCATCATCCGGTACACAATAGTCTCTCTCATCGCATTCATCATCGTATTCTACCACACAACTCTCTCCGACATCTTCGCCGAGCTTGCCTTGTAAGGGTTTCTTTGGACGCTCTTGTTGTACTTTCTTCCCGGGATGGCCGGCTTTGGGCCCTTCTAGTTTCCCCAATTCCTCGGCCCTCCATACTAGCGGTATATCTTCTTCATTGTCTAAGGTGTTTACGGCACAGGCGATATTGCCACACATGCCATTCTCATCGTTCCAGAAGGGACACTCCTTACCGTACAAGTTTAGCCGGTAATATGCAAAGAAATCGGTGGTTTGTGTGAGATCATCTAGGGAAGGCGATATCTCTCGATTAAGGTCATCGAGGGTAGCGTATGTTGTGCAAGCATCAGACACGATTGCTTTTGGGGAGATCTGGGTGACGGCATTAGAAACATATGCCTGATAAAAGAAAAGTAAAGCATACCGCGCAAACATCTGGACTTTGAATCGTTCTAGATTTGGATGAGGAATCAGAAGCTTCTGTATGTGAAGTGCAAGTACTCAAGAGAGTGAAAAGACCCAAGTAGAACGCTCGAGCGGCGGTCTTCATGATGAGACTGACACTTGGCCTTTTGTCTGGTACTTCAGATAAATTTCATCGGGGTACGGGTAAAGAGCTTCGGAGGTTACAAAGTAGAATATTTGACTTTTTCGGATATATGATAGGGTGGGATTAATTAGAAAGGGGTGTATTGAGGTATTGAGACCCTATTTTGTTTGATTCTTGTAACTGCGAAAGGAAGGTCGGGATAAATATAGTTTCGACAAGATGGAAGAACAATGATCGATTCCGATGTAGAGCCTACTAGATAACCAATCAAAGAATCTTTCAGTAAACTTTCTAGGAAGAATCAAAGTGGAAAAATTGAGAAGCTTTTGATTTTTAAGTATTAGAGTGCATTTAGGTTTAATTATACAGAGGTTGATGTTGATTTGAAAGCATACGATCTGTCCATTTTAGATGAGTGGTTCGAGTGATATAAGTGAGATGGAGTGATTTAAGTGGTCCGATTGCCATCATTTATTTGGGAAGGGTCCTGGAGTTAATGCCACTATGTCACAACCATGCCACTGGAAACAGTCATGGAACATCTGATGGAACATCTGATGGAACATCTAACGGAACATCTAACGGAACATCTAACGGAACATTCAACGGCCCGGACTAGTATCGATGCTGGCTTGTTGATGGCATTGATAAACGTCCACCATATCCGACGATCCGAGGTTAATATACGTACTAGGTTGAATAATAACTACCCCAATTGACATATCATATTGCAGCTATTAACAGCCTCAATCTTCTCCTGCTTTGAGATCTATGGGTATATTGTGGTACTGCAAGTGTCGCTAACTGCACCACCTCATCCTCACCCTCACCTTCACCTAACCTTCCAAAAGGATCCGGTAGGGAATCTAAATCTAGATGGTCGCGTGAGAATCAGTCACTTCATATCCAAGAACATTTCAGCTGCTAAGACTTCCAATAAGCGTGATCAACCTCAAGAACCATACGACTAGATACCCACATCGAAAGGTACACCATCACATAATGACACTGGAATAGAACAGAGGTGTAAATACAATTTGTTGTTTTTCTTCTTCTTCTGGTAAACCTCGCCTTTCGATGAGGACGTTGATCTGAGGACAGTCACCTCCATTGTGACCTTGAAACGTCCTCTCATCTTCTTATACTTATGCTGAGCCTGCTATGCGTCATACATTCATCATTGCCAATTGGCTTCTTCTTCTGCCTTTCTACAGTTTCTAAATCCATTGCAACCAGCCCTGAAAAGCCTCGCTATTGTTAATTCCCAAGATGAAGTAGGACCAGTATATAGCAGTGGAGATGATGTGAGTTAATCCTGATCTAATACATCAAACTTATAATCGAAAACCATAAAGCGAAACCTAGGAGAGACATAAGACGTAACATCGTCAGAGCATATGTCCTCGTGTAAGATGTTATGCCGGATCAAAGACTCGCGGAAATCGAGTTTAAAAAACATGCAACATATCTATTGCTGCTGAGTTGGTGGTTGATAATTAATTGATCTCCTAGATGGACTCGTTAGCGTTTAGAAGAGTTTGAGGATATCCCGTAACGTACTTGAAGAGGAGAATGTGTGGTTCTGGCTCATGTACCTCGTAATGCTCCCAGCCAAGACTCTATTTACAATTAATTAGTTCTGTCAATTTTTGGTTCATTTGTCCTCTGCATACTTGTGTTATTCCCAATGCCCTCCATTCTTCCTCCCACAGTAGCTTCAAGGTACCAGTTTGGGGATCGTGGTACTCCTTGGGAATGACTTTCAGCATGGCTTTTGGTAGCTGGACATGTCGGTACTCGTATTGATCGTCGGAGTATCTGTACGAAGAGATAAGTGTATGCGCGATGGAAAGCAAGGCGCATTGTTATGTGCCATTACTTGTACTGACCTTGCTGAATAATGGATCGCATCAACGAACTCATCTAACCGTTCCTTTTCGGCTTCCGAGATTGGTCTCGCGTACTTGTTTCTCCTACTATAATCTATGTCCGCCATTGTGTTCTGTATTCTACGACTTAACGCGCTCGCGCGAGTTGTTTGGAAGCGTCGACGTATGAGTGGGGCAATAACGCGACAAAAAATGATTCGGAGGTTGATTTGATAAATCGAGGTCGCTTGATTGTTCGATTTTATGTGAAATCTTAGATTATTAGAGTCGAGGGCTGTTAGAAGAATAGCGCCGGCGCAAATGTATGCGATGGTCGATGTGGAAAGGCGTCGAGCGGTTGATTGGGTTCGATTTGCTTCTTTTTGCGGTGTAGAAACTGTGCCAAAGACAAATGGAGAATGGGAAAGTGATTTTAATTGTGATTGTAGTTGAATGAAGACAAGATTTCTCCTCAAGCAAATTGTAGATAACTGCAAATAATTGTATGCGTTATGATGTGAATCTGGTTGATTTGTTTGCGAAAGTCGAGGTACCTAACAGCCAAGCAAGCGGACTTGGGGGAGTGTAAACAAATAAGTTGAGCAACGTTTTAGTGTTTGGGCAAGTGGAGTCCAAGTCCAGTCCAGTCCAGCCTTGTCAAAGCCATTTACCCGTGAAGCACTACTTCGTACAGCCTTTTAACTGAGTTCAGCCTTGCAGCTCTAGCCTTGCAGTCCCGCCTCCATCCTCCCATCGTGATACCTGAGGCAAAAGAGAGTCTGGTGATCATGTGACAGAAACCTGTCCGTTCCAATTCATTAATATGTATTATCGCTTCAGTGTTTGAACTCTAAACTAATCATTTTGGTTGAGTTGAGTTGAGAATACAAATACGAATGCGTATTGCAACTTTCCTTAAAACTTCTCGAGTATTAATAAATACTGAACGGATTCCTTCAATTCTTTATGATACTTGATATTTGTATAATATCGATCCGCATCTCCTCTCCATCCTTGTCGTCTTGCATCTGCGACTTGGGACTGGAACTTCCTAGCAACCAACCCAAAAAGATCATAACCCCTGCATGTCTCTATCTCCATCAGTACTTTGAAGTTTGTAAAAGCTTCAGAACGCGCATATCGGCTTTGACGCGTCCGCATTATCAATTGGGATTGCGCAATAATTCCCAGACTTTGAATCAAGTACACCACGGCGAGAAGCTACTGGGTCTTATAATCCAAGACGGTACGGTACGATACAGTACAATACGATAATAAGATATTAGAATGGACCCCAAGAGGAAGGTTAATGGCGGAAGTACTGCGGATCAAGATGATGCGGACCGCGTTGCGAAGAGAAGAAAGCTTCCTGTTGTAAGTTTGCGCCTATTTTGTTTTTGCTTATGATAAAGATAAAGATACAAAGTTTGGCGCATTGATATTGTTCGTGGGGTTTAAATAAAATAAATACCTGTCTACCAGCTTTTGTCTCCATTGGTGGCAGGGAAGTGAACCGGCGCACAACCACTTCTTCTTACCCTTCATTTACATCATTCTTTATGAAATGCGAAAACGTTCGAGAAATCGAGGCTGACATTGAATAGAATGGTGACCTAAGCCAAGGCCAGACACCAGAAACAACGACTTATTATGGATTGATACTTTTGAACCAACTGAGAACGGGTCTGGATAAACAGTGAGTTCACCTACCTCCAAATGATTGCTCTTCAGGTTCCGCAGTACGCACATTTGAATTCGCACATTTGAATTTCGCAACCCTTTTTGACCCCCCGCCCCGCTCCGAATATACAATTCATGTATCTTCCTCCATCTGCATTGCACCCTGCTAATAGCGATGTCTCTCTACAGGGGCCGACCGTTCGCAACCAATTTCCTCACCCTCCCGGATAGGAAAGAATTCGCCGCATACTATGCGGTGACGAAGATGCCAATCGCCTTTGATACCATTCAAGAAAAGTTGGACAATCATGACTTTGCTACTTTATCTGAGCTTGAGAGCTTCTTCAAACGCCTAGTAAAAAATGCTAAGGATTACAACGAACGGGAATCTATAATTCATCGTGATGCTGAGCGCATACGAAAGGCTGTGGTTAAATTTATGACTGACAATAATCCAGAGTATAAGACAAATCCGGGTCTGAAGCTGGAGCCTACGCCAATTGCACCTGTCGAGTCTGTCGTATCTAAACCAGTCGAGCCCAAGCCTGCACCTATACCTGCCGAGCAAGAAGATAGCGATGCGGATGCAGAGGGAGAACCCGAAGACCTGGGGGAGGAAATCAAGGCTGAACCAGTTCCAGTCGCAAAACGAAGAGGTCGGCCTCCAAAGAATCCTGGAGCACCACGCAAGAGTACCACTCCTGCTATATCCGATTCTCAATATGCTGGTGTCAGCTTTGTGGGACTTACTTTCCAACAAGCACAAGAGAAGATTCTAGCTGACGTCCTTTCGCACAAAGAAGACCCTGCGTAAGTACTGCGGCCTACATTATTCAATTAAGCTAATATGGAAATAGGGACGATTTCTTTGAATTTGAGCCTTTCGTAGCATTGCCACCACGCAGTTTGAAAGATTATTATCATGTAATTCCAAACCCACATTGCCTAAAGGACCTGCAAAAACGAGTCAAGGGAACACATGGAGGAAAACATGCCACGGGTGTTAGCGATTTCAAGTCGTGGGCTGCGCTTGAAGAAGATGCAAGTTTGATATGGAAGAATGCATATCACTACAATGAAGATGGCAGTGAAATCTTTAATCTAGCAAAGGACCTTGAGGTATGTAATTGGCTTCTCACTAAACAACTCTCCATTAACATCTTCCAGACCTTTTTCAAGAAGACTTTAGAAGAAGCCAAGAAGGCTGTGCCTGAGCCTGTGATCCCCAAGATAAAAATTAATGTCAAGGCTCCTGAACCCAGTCCAAAAATAACTCTGAGAGTCGGAGTACCTAGAGCAGCGGACTCACCAGCTCCATTAACCAATGGTTCTAACGGGACTGTGAACTCTGCAACCTCCTCCAACAGCGAAACACGTAGAAATCCGTTTGGTGGTTCGCACTCTACCGCGACACCAGCTCCAAATTTGGGCCAGTTAGAGAGAGCTAGGAGCATGTCAAATTCTGCAGCATCTCCAACACTTTCAAATTCAGTACCGGTAAAAAGTGAGGAAGCCCTAAGCAAGTCGCCCGCTGCACCAATACAATCAACCCCACGACCGATCAGCCAAACTGTCTCGACGCCGACCCCGGCTCCAAGTAACATGCTTCCACCACATACACCCAATGCGTCTAATCACAATTCATATAATCAGAGTGGTTATGCACAATCTTTCAACCATCAGGCCGCAAATCTAGGCCTGGAATCCAAATTCAGAGCACCAGGAAAAGGTGAGTAACGATCTACTTTGTGCCCAGATAAAGAACTTACAAAACCTAGATGCATCTCATGCTATGATCACAAACTTGAGCATTGCAACTCATCCACGCCTCAATGTTTCTCGTCATTTTCATATGGATCTACCCCCGTCTGCAACATTGACGCAACAATCTATCACGATCAACCTCCCTTCGACGCACTACTACCTCCAAATCAAGCCAACAATCGCTCAGGCTTTGCTCGAGCGTCAATACAAGATATTTGTCACGTCTGGAGTAACTAGATTGCATGCTATACCACTCATACCCAATCATGGAGTGGATCCTCGACAACCTCTATTCGAAGCTCGTCTTCTTCCTGGTGTGAACAAAATTGAAGTTGAATTGATTGCGGCCCTTCCTAAGGGTACGGTAAAGCCTGCTGGTGGACCTGATGTCGAGATAGAAAAGATTACAGTGTTCGCCAATTTGATGAGGAATTGATAAGAGTATTATTTATTGTTCAAAGGCTGCGAGACTGGCCCAATAGCAATGGCGTTCTCCTAGCATTCTTAGTATTTCTGCGTTTGAAGTTAAACATAAGGGGCGTTTCAGAAAGGCCGTCGCAATTGTTCGATTTGGCATTTCGTGGGGTTTGGCATTGTACAAGTAATTTATGTATCGTGGAATCGGGGGTGAATCTCTGATATGATAATAGAGCTGTGTTAGATATCAAGCTCTGGAGTTGGAGAGGAGAGAACGCATATTTCCTCAGTTAATCAAGCAAATAATTTCAACATTCAAACCAAATTTGAACGGTGAAATGGCCTAATTCCCACTTGTAAACCCAAAATCATCGTTCTAAAATTGGAAGGTTATATTTTCTCCGACTATCGGGTGGTATTTAGGAATTCTCTAGCATGAGTTCGAACATTGAAACCTTTCATACCTTGGCTGTATGTACGTACCTATCCTATTCAAAGAGGCTGAAGCTGTCAGAACAAGTGTCTAACTCACACTCCGTTGTTCCAAGATGACTCTTCGTTCTCTTAGCCATGATGTGATCTAACTGTGAGATGTTTACCCATCTTGTTGTCGTTTATCCTTTTGGTGTACATATCACAAATAGCCACTTGATCAATCATTGATTGTATCATCTAATAATCGCCAATTTACAACTCACTATTATAGATATATTAAATATTTGTGAGATTAGCGAGCTTTTTCCACTGATACTAGGTCTGTAATCTAGAAAAGAAGGTTTTCTGGATACTAATCACCGTGAGGGATGCTGATTCGGTGGTGGAAGTCAGGCACAAATAGGTCTCGCCGGTGAATGGATCTAGCTATCTATATTTCATACTTGTTTCTACATCTAATTTTTGCTGTGTAGAGCTGGGGAACATACTCAAATATAGCTTCGATTAGTATGTGGCTATTTAAGGCAAAGAAATTTGCTATTCTTATGCTAACATAGATTAGATCCATGTTTGATGGATTTGAAAGTATCAAGGAACTTCTTGAGGCTTTTCCGCAAGCGTCCAGAAACCTTGCAAGCAATATACCTCCTATGCTCAAAATTGCCTTGTATCTTATCGCTAGACCTCTTTTCGCGCAAGGGGAGGTGGAGTAACTTGTCTAGATTTTTCCGATTAGAGAATGGTGAGTTTGTGCTGTGTTTATATGCTGAGTAGAATAGACATGCAAGTATAATGTTTTAATACCATTAGCTTTGTTCTTTTGAAGATTGGCCATCGTCATATATTTCCTCGTGAATTTGGAGACTTGAATGTATACATGAAAGTGCCTCACCGAGCATCAGAAAAAGCCTTCGAAACTTAGGCATGCTGAAGAAAACGCGTATGTAATCGTGCTTATATACAAAGAAGTATTCATGACATTTACAACAAGCCCAACCATCCGTCACTCCTCGCTCATATCGTGAACATGAAAGAGACACCCAAACGCTAGAAGAAAAGGTGTTGTTCTTGTTTTTCCTTCGATGCATCCGGCCAAACCCAGCCCAATATCATATCCTAACGCCAAATCCCATAATGAATTTATGATATATTTTCCATACCATGTGGATCAAACTACAAAAATATTGCTAACCAATAGTCCTTGGCTTTCTACATGGTATCTTCGTCTGATACCAATACTCTTGGCCTTCATTAAAGCCTCGATGGCTTCGTCACCTCCTCCAATCATTACCATGCTGACCTGGTGGTGTCTCAAAAGACCGCTCGGGGTTAGTTGTGGTTGATCCAACAATGGTCTAATCAAATTGTGCTCTGCTCTCGTTGAGCCTCCTTGACCTTCCATATTCTCCTCGCCAGTTTCTACATCATCCTCGCCGTCCGAAACCACTATGACTAACTTGAGGCCATTAGATGTGGGTGTGTAGCTGGGGATATTGGATAGCTTCTCCGAAAAAGTACAACCGCCACGTTTCATAATTATAACATGATTCTCTTTGACTGCTTCGTCCGGGAGCCTCCCGTTACAAGCTTCATCAGCGAAGAAGATACTGGTGAAAGAAAGAGTGGCGGACGATGTTTTGGCGGACATAAGATCTGGGGCTTCCGGTGCATCGATAAGGAGATGAGCACCTTTGCCTGTGGGTAGAACAGCCGGAAGAGTGACGTAGGTATAAGTGGGAGGAGCTTGGGGCTGTGGAAGTAGAGTAGCGGCTGGATCGCGCAGGGCAGATGTTACTTGTTGGAGGAGGGAATTTAGCAAGGTTCTGTATTCTGCTAGCCCTGCATTGCTAATTGATTCTTCCAAGGCAATGTTCGGGGTATCTTCGTATAATTGATCTTCCTCGAAGTACTCTTCGACACTTTCAGAAACATTTTGATTTTGATCATGAACCTGCTCAAGTTGTATGACTATGTCAAGCATGACTGGATTCCTTATGCGTGAGAACGAAGGATCTGATAGATCCCCTATCACATCTCGTGGTATTAATACCTGTTCGTCTCTCCCCAGAGGTATGTTCGCAATACTGCCTACTCTCCACGATTCCGAGGCGTGCTGATTGACTCCAGAAGAACGCGATTGACTTTCATGTATCATGCCCATCTTCAGACCAGACAAACTCTTGACCAATATACTACCATCCATTGTACGATCAAGACTTTGAGGAATATTAAAGACAATGTTAAAACCATTTTTGACTGATTGGGTGCTCAAAGGGTTATTGTTAGGAAATTCAATCGTAAAAGTAGTACTTATTGGAAGACGATCGCAAGTACCATTACTTGGCATCATTGAGGCTGGCAAAGTCCATGGGAAGTATGTATGATTGTTGACCTTGATGTTCTCATTATCTATTGTGGCGTGGTGATTGGGAATCATGTGTAAACCTATAAGACTTGATGCATGGAATACATCCGTCCTAGCAGCTGTAGGGGAGACAGTGAAGGGCAATGGTGGTGGCGGTACAGGGCAAGTATCTCGAAGAGCTACATCTGACTGAGCCGCTTTTCTAGCAACAGGCGCACGAGATGCAACGGGGCGCCTCGAGTTTGTTCGAGGTAGAACAAGAGGGTGTCCCTCAGTCGTGAAGACGTAAGCAGCATCGAGATCGTTCATCGGATGGTCAGGATCAAAAAGAAGATAGAGATATTTGGCTGTTTCTCCAAGAAAGAAGCTTTCCATTCGATCACTCTTTTCTCCAGTACGCACATCTTGTAAACCTGACCAACCGCATGTTGCCCAACATCTTCGTTTAATATCTTCCAAAACCATCTCACCGACGTGAAGATACCAGGGATCTCTCGTCGCTCGATAGAGGTGGTAATTTGATTCGATGAACTCAGGACGCCCGGGCCACCAACCCAGTCCTCCTTCTATGTGTCCGTCGCGTACTGACCATCGTTCAGGAAGAGCTGCGTACCTCGTCCACAATGCGGTGTACAGGAGACTAGTTTCGATCGCTTCCTCAACCTCACCAGCTAGCGTCAGTAGACCAGGATAATATGCTCCAAGACTATCAATCCAGAATGCCTGAGGCGAGCCTGTGACAAGGTGAACATTAACGTAATGTGGATGGTGCGTAGGACTGTATAGATGTCTTCTGATTGCTGCATGAGCTTCGTGCCACACTGCGAGAAAAGCTTCTGGGGAGTTTTCCTCTGCACTCAATTCGTTATAGAGTGTATTTGGATCCAACCACGAATCATGCTTTTGATGTCTATGTGTCGTTATGTTGGGAGTACCATGTCCGGAGAGCAGGACGTGGGTCTTGAATGCGTATTCGAAGAAACTGTCAGTACCGGCACCTATTCCGGCATATGACCCAATCCATTGACCATTCTCTGCATCAATCCCTGCTCCAATGAGTCCAATGTTACTTCGCCTATTCCATACCGCCCAAAACGCTCGCTTGGCCAGTTGCTCAAATCTTGGATCTCCAGTGAGGCGGCTCAAAGTAGTAAACTCCAAGACCAAACTACCTGCTCCTGCGCTACATGTTTCAGTAATCTCAGGCACACCTCTGTCCATAAAGTCACCAGGATCAGACCCCTGATGTAAAGGCGAATTCACATAAAATGGTATCCCATGTCGTAAATTAACTCTTGGATACGGCATACCAGTCGCGGTGTAAAAAGCAGGCAGGAGTCGCTCAGCCAAGTCCAGAGCTAGGCGCAAAAGTTGTCCATCATATGTAAAGCCATTCGCCCACAAAATGGCAGGTAGATGTGTCTTCGAGCTACTCTCCGATTTAGTTCTGCTAGCTTGTGGCTTGTATCCATTTATTGGCAAAATTCCAGCGGCAAATTCATGAGCACTCAATAGCCCGCCCACACCTCTGATGACCGTCTCAAATATTTGGACCTTACTGTCCAGATCAAACCCTCGAGCACGTAGGCCTTTCCCGGATGCTCCACTTGTCCCATCGCCATATTGTAAAACTAGGGAAGCTACCCCATGCTGGAAATCCTGAAGTGCTGTTGCCCCGGTTTCTTCTTTATCTGGAGGGGCGGATGCCAAAATTGCGAGAGTCGAGAGGCTGTCGATTAAAGTGAGAGAATAGTTTCCGAGTGCATCGTTTAGTTCGAAATGTCGAGGGTTTTGGGCGTCTCGAGTGAGGGGTGTACAGGATACCGGCCTCAGCTAGAAGAAAAGGTCAGCTACAGATCTTTGGTACTCTAAGCAATGGTCGAACCTCATCTTCCGGGAATGCAATATCCATATAATTGTCAAATCCATGATAAAACATCTCGACCGTTTCCTTCCGCAACTGCGCAATGCGCGCCGGTGTCATGGCATTGACTAGAGCCAGACATAATGTGAAAAGGAGCAACATGGAGCATCTTGAGTTAAAGACGGTGATCGAATGACTGCTGGAAGGGAAGCCCAGCCAACAACCTCTTAGGCATCGCAGTGGCATCACCGATGCTTATTTACGGAAGAAGGCATGTGAGCTTGACGAGAATAGCAATTCACAAATACTGCGGATAACTTTTGGAGTCCAAAAATTGAACTTGGAAAATGGCAATACAAATGATAAAAACAAGAGGCGATTGAAATTATTTGTATGTATCGTTTTATTTTTTTTTAGTTTTTTTTATAGAAAAGAAGAGCAGAAAAAGTAGAAGGGAATAGGTCAAAGAAGAATAATGATCTAATAAGGTTGGTGATCTAACAGTTGATTAATATGTATGATCTGGCTAAAACTGTCCTAATTCCACGCTTGGGCTCACCGGCTCCCTTCGATGTGGTCAGAACAGACAGAAATGGCCATATATGTACATTGTATTTCAAATCAGATAAAGTATAAAACTCAAATGAGCATCAAAGACATTATGCTTATGATTAGGAATCTAAAGTTTATGTTATCTTTTTATTATCAAACTTTTAATTTGTCATTTAACTGATTTCCAGAAGGTTTGATTCGCCGCTCGGTGCTTCCAAAGGCCACGCTACAAGCCTATGAAGTAGTAGCCACCACCAACCGAACACTACATCACCCCATTAACCTTGCCCCATCAACCCCATCAACCCCATCAACCCCTTCAACCCCATCAACCAACATCACCAACATCACCAACCCCGTTTTCTTCTAATCCTGATTCTCTTTCAATCACCACGACCATTATAACTTTTCAACCCAAGAAAAGTACAGATCATTTGGGCATCAGCCAATAACTTAATGCGCAACACTAATTCCACCCATTTTACCATGTCGCATATCCTGTCCATCATTGAAGAGAGCCAGCTCTCAAAAAACGAAACCAGGATTCAATGCGATCATTCCCACATCGCCAGCGCTCGATGTCGTGTTTTCTTTCTTTCATGCAAACCTCCTCAAGGCCCTGGTATTGCTGTCCTCACTTGACGGAAAAATCGGAACAGTATTTTCCACAAGCTCCTCCTATTCATACACACCATGAAGGATAGTATGGATAGGGCACCGAATATGGCGGCGGATATGTCCGATATGTCTGTATAGGACTAGGACATCGAGGAGCGTAATCATACATGAAAGCTTCCTCATTATGATAATCGGTATACTCTTGTTCAGGTCGCTAGCAAAATCTTAAAGTCAGCATTGTCTCCGTATGAGTCTTGGTAGCAACAGTATTGCTACTCCAAATTCATCACTTCAATCCAACTAGGCAGTTTGAAAAGTCTCACTTACAATGGGACAATCCATGTGAGCAAGACTAGTTTGCTTCCTTGGCAGAGATATACTGAAATCTCCGCATCGTCTGTGGCTGATTATCTTCTTGTGACTTCTCTGCCATCTCTTGAGTCTTGAACAGATGTAAACGCTAGTGCTTGATTCGTTGCAGCCAGTACAACGAACTTCTTGCTCTACACACATCTTGTTCTAATGGAAGATATCGAGGGAATTTAATGATTCGTGGGATTGATCCAGATAGGCCGTTCGATCGTTTGGGAACAATTGCTGCACTTGTTGAGTAACCGTTAGGAATTCATGGTTTGCAAAAGTAGTTGATTGTCCAGATTTCAAAAGTTTGAAACCGAAGCGATTGAACCTCTATCTTTATCTCTATGGCTACATGATGGATTTACCCTGCCAATCTTTCACATCGTATGAAATTTATACACGTATCGTTCATGAACCAAGTCGTGCATCTTTACTCCTGCGCAACAACGCATAGAAGTTGACCAGGCATCTTAATGGTGGCCGCGGTTCCACCCCACCCTCGATTTTGATCGGCTAATTGCTGTTCATCTGAACTACCACACGGCTCAATGGAACTTGATAAAGAACATCAAATAGGCTTGATCTTTACTCTACCCGTAAATTTCATCCATGAAATGTATTGGGCCACGAGAAGGATCTGGTAGTGGTTGCTTCCTAGTGATGGGACGAACACATGGAGTGACAAAACTACCCGTAATAGTATAACCGGGCTTGTCTCCATGACATGAACTATTTCGATATACCCACCAATAGCTCTTGTACTCGAGTAATGATAAAGATTCAAGGTTGAGAATTCATTGGGGGAAGACATATAATTGTATCCGCATGAATACCACTTTGATATTGTAACAGGGTTTCATAGTGGCATGAGGTAGGTATCTGTCATTGTTGAACATGAATTGATTCATGATATACATTTACATTCGCAAAACAGTTAATACACATTTCATTTTTTCATGTTTTTCTCCCATTATATCATATGATTTAAGCAAGATTTGAGGAATGATAGACGATGCATGAATGGACCGTCCATTTGCTGCTTGTCATAGACGCTGCTGGCCTTCAGTCATCACCTCCCTACTTTAGCAATATTAAAAGAGTATCTCATAATTCTCCAGAGTTATGGCTGACTGTGTGTCGCCTGAAGTTCTCGTCATGCGATTCCCACGACTGGATAATTTTATGATTCTAGCTTTTTCCATTATAGTATTTCGTGATATCTCGTGAATATGAAATTGAATAGCGATGCCTCGGTCATAGTTAGTTGCAGACCCAAACTCATAGAGAGATGCAAGGTAGAGAATGAAGGGTTATGGATGGGGATTGATGTACTTCTTCCTGATTCATAAAATATTGAGTTGCTCAGAGTAGGATGACTTGGTTCCGATGAATTGCGAATGTTTGCCACATATAATGCGTAACCTTCTAAACCGGTATATTCTGTTATTCTTACACCTCTCCTTTCTTCAGCAAAATACTCACTGTTGACGAAGAGTGTGAGTAATTAAGTCCTTAAAGTTATTCAAACTTTTCTTATGATTTGATGGTTTGCAAGGTCGGGCGGAGTATTTAAAGGGAGAAGTTTCGCTCCAATCCTCGATATTTCTTCGATATTTCTTCACCGGTAACCACTTCACACATACCTGCATCTATCCATCTAGAAACACAGACGCAATACACATACAGGCACGCATAAACCATTCTACAGCATCTCGCACCACCGAACATTTCAAAATGTGTCACGAAAAAAACATTACCTGCCTCACCTGCCTCTCAACCTTCACCGTAATCGAAGCCTGCCCTCGCTACAGAGAACAACCCGCGACCAAACACAGCAGCCGCTCATACCGAAAATGCTCAGATTTCAAATAGGAAAAGGAACCCGTGTTTGTAGATTGGACGGATGAAAACCATCATAACTGCAAGGAATATACATGGGAAATTTTGAAGATTTTGTCACAAAGGGAATAGAACTTTAGAGATTGAAATGGCCAGCACGACTACACAAGTAACACGACCAGTAAGACATGATCGAAAGCATTTTGGGCACGCAAGGAAGGAATTTGTGTCTGAATGGATCTATTAGGGAGTGTGGTTGGCTTGCTAGGGATGCTTTGTATTTTGGTTTCTTGAGATAATGGATTAGATACATAACTAACTATGCGTTCTATATCATAATATGAATATTTGTGTTTTATGGTGATGTTCTTGATGGTATAACACTGCACTGCTTGCACCCATGATTCCATATTTTGCGCACTAATAAGAGAAACCCCGCAATTGTTCAACTTCAGTACAATACTCGTGAGAATTATCGGTGACTTGGATGCGTGGTTTTCACTAGAGGTGGTTGGGAATAGAAAGAAGCTCATGGGAACGGGGATGGGAATGGAAACTCAGTCATTCGGACCTTTAAAAAACGACGATGGGAAATACCGGGTTTCTTTCCACTGATGAGCACGAATTCGGGATTTAAAGTATATATGGAGTCTGGACACACAAACTAAGGTTACATGAAATGCGAATCACAATGGGCCATAACCTCAAAGATATTCTTGTGCCCGATTTCAAAATCTCAGTTCAGATATTAGAAAGCATCATGAGATACCTAAAGTCGTGGCATTTAAAGTCCGTATATGCTTAAGTATTTGAAATAGCAAGCCAAAAAGGCAAGGCAAGAGAAAAAGAGGGTATCATCTCACATCCTACATCCCACATTGAAAATCCATCGAAACCCACCCAAAAATCCCACTCAAATATGCACTATTAGTGAAAGAAATGCCGTCCTATCCATCGGCTTTTTGCAGTAATCCCTTCCTTGGCCCATGAATAGTTTAAAAGTACAAGTAACCTTACAGCCTTTCAGGAAAAGAAAAGAAAAGAAAAGATGGGAAATAGAAATACCGAGAACTGTTTAAGCATTAGGTACCACAACCTCTAATCTACCACTCCTGTGCCAGACGGCCAATAATGCACCACAGTGACCGCATTTATGTTCGACATCTTTGAGGCCCGACACAAGGTAGGGTATGCATCCAAGACAGGTAACTGCACAACAGAGGATGGCGATGAGACTAGGATGGGTTAGTATATTTCATATGGATAACGTATAGGGGATGAGAAATGGAGATGCATACTGTGTAGTCATTCCACTGTGATGTTCAACTGAAGTTACTTCTCTTACGCCGCAAATAGGGCAGTCCACGGGTGTAGGACCGGTTTGCAAGGAGCGGATAGGCATAGCAGTTGCATAGTTATTTCTTCCTTGGTTGATATTTGCTTGGGGTGGAGCTTGAGGTGTATATTGTCCTTGAGGAGGATACTGTTCTTGATACGGTGGAGCTTGGTATTGATCCTGAGGAGGAGGAGATTGATATTGTCCTTGAGGAGGAGGAGGAGGGGGGGCTTGTTGAAACTTCTCATTCGTGAAACCCTCTTGCTGAGGTGGGATTTCTTGCGATGACATTGTGTCTTGATTATGAGCGACGACTTCGATACCTTGATAAGCTGCTGGCTTGAATTGCTCTTGAGATTGTTGCGATTGTGGAGGTAAATCAGGATGAGGTTGTTGAATATTTGAAGTGGAAGTGTCGATGATGCCGGTTATTTGTGGAGAGATGTAAGCCGAATTATGACAGGTTGAGGCGGTGATTTGGGTAAGAGGTGAAAGGAGAAGTCAAAGAAGGAGTGGAATGTGTGGAATGTGTGTGGAATGTGTGGAATGTATGATGGATGATGGATGATGGATGATGGATGATGGATGGAGTTATGAACGACTGGTGTACCACTATCTAGGTATGTTTCTCTCAGCAAAGGTCTCCCCACGAGAATTTAGTAGGTTATTGTTTTATCACTAATGATCCTCGGAATGTACCAAAGTATTTCAAGCTTTTCCTTCCGAGACTTCTTAATCTCTGAATTGTGGGTTTGTTTGATATGAATTGTGTTTTGGAAATTGATGCTCGTATCGTTTTATGTAATGAATGTTTGACGATGCTTCATTTTCGATTATGATTCGACAATGTGGACAAGTAGGACCTGGTAGGTAGGTTAATAGTCTGTCTAATGTTATTCATATCGACAGACAATCATTCCGGAAGAGAAGAAGAATCAATCTTTGAAGATCTTTTAGGACGAGAGAGGTAAGACGTCTAATTAAAGAGAAAGAAGGGACGGATTTACCTTGCCCGTTTCCGTTGTCACAACCAACTATTTTCGTTAATACCTTTACCTTTCTTTACCTTTACCTTTCTTTACCTTTACCTTTCTTTACCTTTACCTTTCTTTACCTTTACCTATTGAACTATACCTTATACTTTATACAGGAAGTGGCACAGCAGCGACAGCACAAAATAAAAACTTAGCCTCATACAATGGAGTACTCACCTGCTAGGTATATCAAAAAAGAGGCCAGGGGAGACTGAGAGTGAGAGGCTGATTACTAATAAGTAACCCAAGCTTTGGATTTCCATCATTTCATTTTTGTCGACGCTTCCAACCATTGATTTGAATTAATTTTCAGAGTATTGTAGCTCACGCTTCTTTCACCTCTCTTGCTGCTCACCTCCTGGATCGAATATCAATGCCGTTGCCTTTTTTGAATCAGGTGGAACTATTGCCGTCTTGACAGAGAGATAATTCTTCAAAGATTCTTGATGTGTTACGTTCAGTCGTCAAAGCATCCGGCTTCCCTTCTTTTAATATCGCAGTTGTCCCTGGTCTACGGATCAAAATACTGATATACCCCATTTCTACATTGCTTCATATCATCCTCAGTGTCGATGCACAAATTACATCTCCGCATCACACCACTCTCCGTTCATTTGTTGCATTTGGCTTTGAAGCCTGATAATGTTTATCGTTCTTGTTGTTCAACCTGAAAATCCGCCGAGGAATTATAGCCAAGGCTCTTAGTAGAGTCTTTTTTGAAAAATCAATCATGCCCGGAGGAATTGTTTTTTGAAATTGCTCTGGATATTAATACTGCTTCTGCGCAGTATCAGAACATATGCATGTCGAATACTAGTCGACTGGAGATATCAAAGAATCATCACGTTAGCGATATGATAGTTCCTGCGGGAAGTCGTATCCTCGGTGATTCTCCGGTCATGCTTCTTGAGCTTGATGCATCGGAAAGCAGTTTCCACGGTGGTCCGTCGGGACTATTCAGGCTGCTCTGTTGATCTAGCACTGCAGATGGTTCATGAAGAGGTAAAAAAAAAATGGTCTCTCCACAGTCCGCGGGATCTGTAGATCTCTCAGGGAGAAAGCTTAACAAGATTGTACTTATCAAACCATGGATTTTCATTGGACTCTGGGTCTGTGGATAAAACCATGTTCCTATCGGTGATATTTTGCCGTCTTTTATCGTTTTAGGTTATGCGTCGTCCAAAGGTTATTTCGGACGGGTTGCCTCAGCTTACTGAGATTAGCGATGCCACTGGTGGCCGGCATTTCCCTGAAGTTTAAAGATTATCCCGCATACGAAGCACCAAACATTTCTTGTTTCTGAATCGCGATTGGATGAACATATTGTCGGGTTGATCTTGGAGAAGGATAAAATATGCTAAAACCTGCATGTAAGTAAGCCAAAAGGACTAGCGATACGTCAAACATTATCATGACAGGTAAGGATTGCCCGGAGAAAAAATTGAGTACGGTAGAGAGATGGAGTGCTTATATCTAGAATGATAAGGGCCTCTCCATAGGACTGTTTCGAAGCTCCGACATTCGATTCATATAAAAGTTCTTCATCCTCCTGGCACTGGTTGATACGCCTTCGATTCTAAAGTTTGGCAGCGAAAAGCCGTTGTTAGGTTGTTTAATTCAGTACATGTGCTCAATTTATGTCTGCAGGTAAGAAGATTCATTCCTACTCTATTCTCATTTAATATTCACTAATACTGCCCAGACACTGTACTGTTACCGAATTTCCTATTCATATCACCTAGAAATTGGCATCGCATATCCTGAATCCTCACATACACAAAGCTCATAATGAAAATTCAACTCATCATCCTCACTTCGCTCCTAGCGCTCGCCACGGCCTTTCCAACCACCAAAACCCGAGCAAGCCTCATACAAGGGTGAGAAAGGCGATCTTGGCAAATACTGTAAGGCCGGCTTCATTAGGGCGTTGCAGAAATCGGCGTCTGTACTTCTACTATCATAAATGTCGAAAATGATTTATTTGCCTGTTCGGTTGGGAAAGCTTCCAGGGTGTCTTCTCCTGTACTATCTTAGTCGGTCTATGGTGGCTCGATGACGGATAAGGGAAAGTACTTGGAAGACTTGAGGATGATTGTGGAGAGGGCTATTCCGGTTCTTTGAGACTGGATGGCTAGCAGCCGTTGGATTGCGATAGGGGAAAGAAGGGGAAGGAAGAGATGCAACATGGTTGACCTATCTCGATTCGAATCTTTTTACTTCTGACGCCCTTTGAACAGATTTATCTCTTCAGATGGTGGGAGAAGTAGTATACATGCTAGGATATGAAGGATTACAAACCGCTACGAACAGGTTCCAAGCCATCATTTGATCATGAATAAACTTCGAACATGGTTCGATTCCTGGCTTCATTGCCCTTTCATTATCCCGTGTCTCTGTGTTTACGATGAAAGTATGGTTCTTTAGCCACATACATGCAATGCAGGCTTAGATTTAGATTATCAATATATCGAATTGTTTTTCACAGACGTGCACAAGATGCACGAGATGCACTTTAGCGGAGATTGTTATTTCGAGGTATTCAATTTGCTCAGTATTTTCTGGTATGAAAGATTTCATACTTTAACGCTGTCTATTAAGGTTACGAAGATCTATGAAAATTGAAGTGCTATCTATGTAGTTAATCACCTAGCAGATATCTATCTTTCTCCTCTGTTCTCGGTCAGATAGAAGTCCAAGGGCCCACGCAGGCTTAGCACCTCGAGGTTCTGTATTCGTCTCCGCCTCCTCCCCTTCTCAAGCCAATGTGATTTCAAAATGTCTGTTTTATATCTACCCCAATCACGTGATGTCCCGTGATTTTCTCCGCAGATCCACACGGCAGTAGCCGGTGAGCTAATGCTGTCAAACACCGCCTACCCACATTTCTCCATCAAAAGCTCCGCACTATGAGGGGCAGGTTACTTCTTGTATCATATCGATTGAGCTTGAAACAGCATTTTTAGACATCGACAAGACTCCACGCAATAAGCTTTCTTGCACATCAACACATTCACGAAACAAAATGGCTGATAACAATCTGGTGGATCGACTTGCCCTGATCACAGGTGCCTCTGGAGGGTAAAAAATACCGTCCCAACTCTCGAAACCCCAATAACAAAGACAACAGAATAGGATCAGCTTGCGCTCGTGCATTTGCAGCTGAAGGCGTTCACCTCGCACTCACATATTCTACCTCCAAAGACGCAATTGATAACCTCCTGAATGAATTACGTCATACATCTTCTGGGAAAGATCTTCGCATCTCAATTCATCAAGTCGATATGGGGTCCCCGGAGCAGATATCTGGTCTCTTTCAAGAAATTATACGTGATCATGATGGACGGAATGTAGATATCTTAGTATCAAATGCGGGATATGGTAAGAGAATAGTTGATATATCTGATATTCCATTAGAGGAATTTGAATATACGCTCAACATCAACTTGAGAGCATCGTTCTTGTTGGTTAAAGGTGTTGTGGAAGGGATGAAGGCACAGAAGTGGGGGAGAATTATATTCATTTCGAGTATAGCTGCCTATGGAGCTGGAATTAATGGCTGTCGTACGACCTCCTTTTGAATTCTTCCTCCGACTGCTCAACTGACACGTGCTTAGATTATGCTGCATCGAAAGGTGGCCTCACATCGATGATGAAGAATTTATCACTTCATCTTGCTGAGTACAAGATTACGGTCAATGATGTTGCTCCAGCGATGATTGGCAACACAGGCATGATCCCAAATGCCGATGTTGCCCCTGGATTACTTGACACGATTCCACTGCATCGGTTGGGCACTCCGGAAGAATGTTCGAATGCAGTTATGATGTTTGCCAAGACTGGATATGCAACTGGTCAGAGTTTGTTACTCGCAGGAGGATTGAATCACAAGTAAACACGTTCTTATTATGTGTGGAAGACAGTGATGATGGCCGCCACAGTCATATATTGGCATGTATAAGACGAATAAAAGCCTATTCACATCAGTTAGCGAATACACTCTATATTCCTTTATAAGCCAATCATGGTGATAATTGTCCGCTTACAGGTTTTCATATGTACAACATGTGCAAAATGTTCCACTATCTTCAAGAAGAGCTCCACGCGTAATCCTTGATAGTTTTTTAGTGTAGGGAGAATGGAATAATAAGGTTATCCGTATCTCTGAGATATGGGAAGGAAGGAGCTCGAGAAAAACCCCTTCCAATCATGTTTCCTGGATTCATCAAGACCCCGCACTTCCCGACGGAATGCTTTGCTTATCAACAAATTTCCCCACCTCGAATAAGCCTTCTACTTACATCAACCCATCTTTATACCTTCCGCAAGAACAACTGAATCACTAAAATCCATTGATAATATCTATAGATCTTTAGTCGGATTGTGAAACTAAACTGTTTGACCTGTGGTTTTCGAATGCTACGATAAAAAGCAGCCATGGATATTCCAGCTCTTCTCAAAAGGTACACACCGGACCTCTCCCGCTATGAAGCTATCTACAAACATCTCCACCAAAACCCAGGATTGTCACTTCAAGAGGATCTGGCTGCTAGAACGGCAGCCACATTCCTCGAAAATCTTATAGGCTTTGACGTCCGTACAGACATCGGTGGTAGAGGTCTGATCGGGATTCTGAAGAACTACTCTGGACCTACAATTCTCCTTCGTGCTGATATAGATGCATTACCTGTCAAAGAATTGACTGGTCTACCATATGCTAGCACCAAACGGGAAGTTGATATCGAAGATGGCATTGAAAAATACGTGATGCATGCTTGTGGACACGATATGCATATAGCATGTATGCTAGCCGCTGCAGAAACATTATGGAAAGCAAAATCCGAATGGCAAGGAACGTTGGTGATACTATTTCAACCCAATGAGGAGCGAGGCGCGGGAGCAAGGGCTATGATAGATGATGGATTGTACGACTCCGAAAGACATGCATGTCCCATTCCGGATGTGGTTTTAGGACAACATGTAATGCCAGTTGAGGCAGGACAAGTGGGAACACGAAAAGGAATCGCTGGATCTGCAGCTGATAGTTTTCGAGTAACGGTTTATGGAAAGGGTGGTCATGCATCACAGCCTCATATGACGATTGACCCAGTATTTATGGCCGCAAATATTATTGTACGATTGCAAGGGATCATCAGCAGAGAAGTTAATCCGCGGGATGCGGCTGTAATAACAGTAGGCAGTGTCATTGCGGGAATGACGGAGAATATCATTGCGGATGAAGCTATCTTGAAGATAAATGTGAGGAACTTTAACCCAGAAACAAGGGGAAAAGTTTTGAATTCGATCAAGAGAATCGTAAAAGCGGAGTGCGATGCTTCAAATGCTACGAAAGAGCCCCTCTTTGAGCCGACGAGTAACTTCCCTTTCTTGATAAATGATGAATCTGTTACCCAGAAGATTTCAGATAGTTTTGATCAGGTGTTTGGAGAAAACCATACCCAAAATTGCGCACCTTTGGGAGGATCTGAAGATTTTGGGATTTTGGCATCAGAAGCACCTAACAAAGAGGGCGGGAAAGGAGTGCCCTCGTGTTATTGGCTCTTTGGTGGTACAGATCCTGAGGTCATTAGGAAAGCCAAGGAAACGGGAAGTATGGAAGATGTGCCAATCAATCATAGTCCATTGTTCGCGCCGGTGATACAACCAACTCTTAGGACGGGAGTTGAGGCTTTGGTTATAGGGGCGTTGACCTTTCTCGGAAAAATTTGAGGAGTGCATAGTCTGAGGGTTGCATAATCTGAGCATATCTGAGTGTTCGAATTGAGCTTGGGAATTACCTGAAGTGAAGAGTTTTGTTACCTGAGAAGGGATTCACTGCGGAGCGGGATGGCTCGCCGTTAACTTGGTTAGGTTCGGAACGATCTGGCTACGATCTAGCTTGAACCAAACTGTTTTTTATGGGCTTATGGAAGTGAGCGTTCGGACTTTGGTCGAGATAGATCATAGAATTGATAGTGGTGAATTGGGGCGGGGGGCCGGGGGTGGTGTTGGTGGCAAGTAAGGTTACCTTCACATATTAGAGCCATCGGACAAACCTGAACCTCAGCAATTTCATATCTATGACTATTCAATACATTATAGGCATACTATAATATGCCATTCATATCAATATCACTAGAGAAACAATAAAACAATAAATCACTAGCACTGTGGGCACAAAGTCCGTTTTAAAATGCTCGAGGATATTCTCACTCGAGTCCCCCGATTCACAGCTTCAACACCGAGGTTACTCTCAAGATTATAGTCCTACATTATCTTTCAAGACTGCTGAAGAGAACTAAATACTCTAACACCATACAAAGGGGGAAAAAAACGCAAATCAAAAGCGCAAACTCCAGTACAAACTAAACCCAAGCCAGAAGAATCTGACTTCTGCGATAACAGAAAAGAACTCCCTCCAATATCTGCAGAGCTGCTATTACTCGCCAGGATTCACGCCATTTCGTGTTCATAAGCCCATATCCACCCATACTCCAAAAGTGTCCAACTTGTAAAGTTTTGTTCTTCTGCCAAGTGGTCTTTGTCCCCACAACTCCATCGCACCAACCAATGCCAGTAACCCATTCGTTACTACATGTTGAAAACAATCCTTCCCGAGAAGTCTTAAACTCCTCCCTTCATTCCTCCATAAAATTATCATCTATGCATGCATAATAGCACAGTGTATAAGAGTGCGTCCTTGCCAAAGGGAGCATCTTTTTGCAACTATGCTTCCATTTCTTTTGATTTTTAATGCAGAAGAAACTAGTGTATGAGAATACATCCTTGCCAAAGGGAGCATCTACGTTTCACGTTTCTTCCACCGTAGTTTTTTAACTGGCACGAATGCCATTGCATGAGAATAATCCTTGCTAGGTGGAATATTCTTTGCGATTCGGCTCCATTAATGTTTTTTATGACAGACTGCTGTATATCATGCAGCGTTTCCGAAGAGGACACCTAACTTTTGCCTTCCCTCGTCGTGTTAAAGTGTCCTGATAGCAGAACAAAAGGCTGTAAAGTAATCCCTTGCCGAAGGGGATGAGATTCTGCGCCCGCGGTCCATCCGTTTCATGATGCGTATCTGTTGATGTCGTTTTCGGAGGAGGTTCGGAAGTCCTAAAATCATAACTCAAAAGCTCTCCTTCATCCATGAGACTGCGCTCCCATTCAAGTATACCATCCAACCTATAAATTCTTGTACATATCAACTTGCAACTACCAAATATTTCGTTCTCCTGTCGTGCTCATGCCCCCGTCATTGTGTTTATTTCTAGGCCTACTCTCCCTTCCAAATGCGTGGAAGAGTAGGTGGGGTCGAAATAATGCTATGAGGTAGTTCGGAAGAACGAATTTGAAAGTTGCAGTTGATACGAAGTCTAAAAAGGGTCGGAAGGTACCTAGCAAATAATTTGTAGGATCTTGTAGAGGAGAGGAGTTTCGCAAAAGAATCATGGAAAAAATACCTTACAAAGAAGTTGCACAAATCTCTTATCATCGAAGACGCGTCCATCTTCTAAGGATGATTTGTGCTAGTTCGATGCAAGGCACATTTTAAGTGGATGATTCTCATGCTGTTGAAAGGGTTGTACTGAATGATCTCGAGGAGGTGCTTATGACCTTTCGGTTTCCTTTGAGAACCGAGTGTTGCTTTTGGAGCGTGATGGGGACGTTTCAAAACAGCCAGACCTTAACAGCACATCAGAATGCGGTGTATCAGAAGGCTCCAGAGTACTCCAGAAATTCCTGTTTTGGCGAATCGTTGAGGTGCTTATGGTTCATAAAAAAAAAGCCAATAAGCAGATGATGGTATCCGAGGAGGTGCGACACATTTCTCAAGTGGCTGTCAGCTGTAGCCTTAGGATATGATCTTGAAGGCAGATGCCATGGTACTCGTTTTAAAGCTGCTCAGTATGGATTATTCCTGCTCCCAAGTGTTGCAAACCTTGGATGAGTGGGATGTCTCACGAGAAATACCAGTGGCGTTTTTATCGGCTTCAAGTTGAGGAAATTTCTTGTAGCTCCTTCAGATGGACCGATATCCAAATTCGATCATGCAACCACCCCTTCCTTTCCAGGTGGCACGAATTCATTCCAACACCAGGAATGTGCTGGAAATAGGAACCTCAAAGCGGGGCGAATGAGGTGTCTCGTAGGTGAAAAAGGTAGCGACACTTCCTCTGAAGACGGCCGAGCTGACTAGGCCAGTAATCCCGAAGAGCTAGCAAACTCAACCACCTCTGCATAGCCCAGCAGTCAAGCGAAGGGCGACGTGCATCTTTAATAGCATTTACCGAATTTTCCCCATGACGACGTACATCGAACGACACCGGACGTGGTGTCTCATAGGTGGTAAATGGTATGTATGTTGATTTTAATCCACAACAAATGGTGTAGGAAAGAAAGCGTTTTCTTGACAAAGTTAGTCCAAGTTATTTGAGGAACGGCGCTTTGACCATGCTGGTATGCCTTTCATACTTGAATTTCTCCACTCTATCGCTAACTTACTGTCATAGTCCACAAACTCGAGTGCTTTCCCAATTCGATTGTGTCATCACCAATATCTATGTTCCTGTCGTGCTCCATACCCCCATGCTTGTATTCATTTCTAGGCCTACTACTCCTTTCAACGCAATGTGAATAATAGGAAGTAGTAGGTTGGGGTCGAAATGAGGCTTTGGAGAAGTTCGGAAACATATATGGTGATGAATAATCGAAATGAGAAAACATTCAAGTTGATGAATATGACAGAAGTTGTCATGTACGATCTAGTAGTAGGAATTGTCAAGTAAATAGACCCGCGTACCGCCTTCTCAGCCTTAAAGGGAGCAGAGAATGATGAGAATTGTCAATTAACAAGTACAATGATACCAAAAGAATAACCAGCGTTTAGATCAGATCGACGGAACTTTTTGGACTGAACCAACGGCTTACTAAAGCACGCATGGTGGCACAGTATAAATTTGCCAAAAGCTCCGTGGTCTAACCACCACGGCGGAAAAGATTGACAACTCGGAGGATACGAACCTCGAGAGCCTTCCAGTAATGGAATGTACTCTCCAGGACCCGTTCCCCGAGGTGCAATATTCTGGTGGGATAGAGTACTTGTAAAGAGACTTTGTCCCAAGAAACGGGAGCAACCAGTTCCGTCGACTTTGGCTCTTCTACAGAGACCACCGTAGCCACAGTAGTCACCGTAGCCACTATGGGATCAGTAGAAACAACCGTGGAAATAACCGGTGTCGCAGTTCTGGCTGCGACACTTGTCATTCCAATCGACAAAACCGGTCCTCGCTGGGTAGGAGCTACCTTTGTGGACATGGCGATCAACGAGATAACGAAGAGGAAGAAGAGGACAAGCGAAAATCGGCAAATTGCAGAGGGAGCTCTGACATGCTTCTTCTTAGGAACTGCTACCACAACAACCCCTAATGAGGGTATAGGAGCTTCTGCATTCTGCTTTTCCTCCTCAGTCGCCTGTGGTAAGTCAACCTTGACGACAGGCTCTTCTGCCTTGGGAATAGAATCGGAAATAGTGACGTTAGCAGGTTCGCTATCCATGAATTGAAACGGCGACATGGTTAGTTGGGTAAATTGTCTGAGTATAAACCTAGCATGCTCGACACGTACTTCAGGACTGGGCGAAAATAACTTTTCGTCCTCAAAATCTAGACGAGGAATGGTGGCTGGTGCTGTGCACCTGCAGCCTCTAATTCTGGTTGGAATGACTGGGAAAGTTACATCCTCATTTATGAATTCAGGTTCCTCCTCCGTGATAACTGGCCATGTGGATCTAATTGGGCGCAAGGCAGTGCGACGGGGAACAGTCATTCGCTGCCTGCTATTAGCAGCAACGACAGAATCTGATTTGTGTTTATCTTTGGCAAGTCGATCGATAGATGCAGCATGCATGGCCTTCGTAGCCTCGTGAGCATTCCTCTCTGCGGCAAGCTCTTCTTTCTTTTCCGCCAATTGCTTATTAGCTGATTCCGTCTTCCGGCTGATGTCGTCGAGGAGAGTTCGCGTCGAGGTCATTTCGTCTTTAAGAACATCGAATTCAGTCCGCACATGTTTTGCTTCACTTTGAAGAGAAAGCACAGTTTTGTGGGAAGCACCGAGATCGCCTTGGAGTGTGTCGACTTTCAATTGAAGAGCATCAGCAGATCCCTTGGCTATTGAGAGATCGAATTTGAGAGAAGCCACATCTTTATCAGCAGACTTAGCTTGTGCATTTGCTTGAGCAATTATCTCTTCTTTTTTAGTGACAATGGATTTGTAGGAATCCAGCAGAGAAAGTAACTTTGCTTCCTGCCCTTCAGACAGCTCAGCAATCTTGGCTTCAAACAAAGCGATATCGTTCTGATGAGCAGTCGCCTGATCGAGAATTTTGGCTTGAAGTTCCTCAATTGTCTTGTGGAACTCGCTTTGTACGTTGGAAGTATCTTTGAGATTCGAATCGAGAAGGGCGTGACCGCTCTCGGATATAATCCGATCTTTAGCTTCGATAGCTTGTGTATGGTTAAGTTTTATTTGTGCAAGGTCACAATTGGCTTGCTCAAGTTTTTCCGTGAGTGACTCGTTCTCCATATCCAAGGCAGTAGCTCTGTTTGCTGTCTGCTGCAGTTCCCAAACACGAGGTTGAGCTTGCGTAATTTCGGCCTGAACTCTAACGTGATCTTGCTGCAGGGTATTGAATTTGACAGTAGCATCGTTGAGCTGAAGTTTGAGCTGGTCTCGCTCATTCAATATGGTCTGGCCCTCAACCATCAACTTTGCCTTCTCGTCTCCCAATTCTTGGAATTTGTTGGCGAGTTCTTGATGCTCCCCCTCAAGCGCTCTGAGACGATCACCTGCATTTTTCTGCTCATGATTAAAAGAAATTCCGGAAGCTTCCAGCTTGAATGCTTCAAGTTCGCCTTGAGACACCTTTAACTCTTCAGTCTTGACTGTGATTTCTGTCTCTGCTACCTGAATGTCACCCAACTTCACTTCCATCTCGTCCTCAAGGCTATCGACCTTCTCCTCAAGGCTGACAACCTTGGCCCTCAGATTATTTATCACCTCGTTCAAGCGACGGTTGATGGTGTTTTGATTCTTTTTTTCCCTCTCTAGACGTTTGATTTGGTCATCGCATTGATCGGCATGATAATTTGCCTCATCTGCCGTGTCATTTGCTCGAGTGAGAGCGTCAAAAACGGTGAGATAGTTCCTTTCAAACTCATTTTTCTCTTCCACAGCAGTTTTTATTGCCGCGTTGAGGTCTGCGATTGTCTGTGTACTGCTATCTTCAGCAGTTTGGATTACCATTGTGAGGTCTGCAATTGTCTTTGCATTAATAGCTCTCTCTCGTTTCAACTCCTTCAAAGACTCATTCTGCTCGTGAGTGAGTCGTTTGAGTTCCTTCTCAAGCTTGCGTGTCTTTTCCATATCGGGAGACAGAGTCGACGTAGGCATGGGAGAGTTTGCCATTGCTCCAAATCGAAAGGCGCTAGGTGAACTAGCATTACTAGCAGCACCAAATACTTGAATAATTAGCCCAAGATCATATAATACTGGGATTCAATAAAGTACCATAGGTATTAGCAGTTCCTGACATCTCAGAATCTGCGACAGATTGTTTGGGAGATAATTTCGCGGCTTCTTTGGCGGCGAGCATGTCGCTCAACGAGAGCTTGGGCTGAGTTTCTTTCTTCTTTGGAATGAAAAGAGCTGGTGGTGTACTTGGTACGAAGTTGTCCATGTTCTTGGACATCTTGTTCTCTATTCATGAAATTGATTAGCCAAGTTGTGCAATGAATAGTGCACGACTGTGAACGAAAGCAAGGAAACTTACTCTTGACGTTTGTAATGATGTACAATGTGGTTGGCGATTAAAATGTATGACAAGTGTGGAAAGACTATGGTATTGTGATTGATGCGCTCTGTTGATGTGATTAATTAGCAAATTTCGTGATTAATAGTGTGACCAACGATGGATAGATTGGAAAGACTTACTCGTAACGGCAACAAGGTTGATCGGTATCAAGATTACTGTCTTAACACGGTTCTAGTAATTTCAGAAGACTTTGAATATGTTGTGAAGTATCAAAAATATGGGGGGAGTTTGTTTTGGTCAAGTTGGGTCTTGTTATGGAATTATTTGGAGTTGTAAGATGGATGGAGTTGTTGAAGAGGGGAAGTCTTTAAGTATACAGAATCAAATCTTAATACTGCATATGCTAGGTGGGATGAAGGTGAATAATTTGGAGCTCAACCGTTCCGTATGGCATAATTGGTAAAGCTGTAGAAAAAAACTTGCTCATTGTGGTCATTATCACGTAGTGAATGTTTTCTGGCTGGGGGCTTAGACAATTTCATTTCTACAACAACCAGTTTCAGATACGGCAGCCACGACTCATTTGTTTGATATTATCTAAGATGAACTGGCGTGCGACCATAACCTTCAGATGATAATATCTTTAATGTATATGAAGATGTTGCGAGATTAGACGAGATATTCGCTTAATGTTTAAACTTTGGTCTTTCAACCGACCATCCTTGCTACCAGAGACAAAATCAGGACTTATATGCGTACCTATTAACAGTAGTATGGTACTGGGTAACGTTCTGTGATAGTATATATCTATCGGGATGCGTTGAAGTTTTGGAAGCAATCGTTGTCTCTCCTGGGGTCAGCTTCAAATTGATCTAGCTTCATTGTATATAAGCTGCGGGATGTATTCTAGTAATTTGATAGAGAATGGACGACATCTTAATGAGAACAGGCCGCGGGTTTGAACAGAACAATGCTTTAGGTCTCCAAAGAAGGTATTTGATTGAATGTGTTGGTGTGAAGGTGGGGGTGGGCCGAGATTGAGACTTTGATCCTCAAATCATGAGTGGCAAAGAATATTCACTCGGAGATTCTTCCTGGATTTCTCTTCATTCCCCCGCATTTACTTAGAACGGAGTTATAGTCTACTGCTGTGTTCTAACCATTGAATGCTTGTCAGAAAGGTAATATCTCATCATACTTTACGGCAGGCAGATACTCATATCTTTTAAGTCATGAGAAGAGGATAGGTATTGAGAGTTATGCAATCTTTACATTTCAATTCTGAGTGTAATGATAGGTTTAAACTTGACCAACTCTGATGACTTCCATTTTTATGGCTTGATGATTTGATAAGTACCTAGTAGATGATACCTTTTAAACATTGACATCTTGTACTGCTTTAAAATCTAGATGGTTCAAATGTTCAATTCAGTGAAATATCAAAATAACTATAAGATCTTTTGTCCAACCAACAAGGGCTTTCCGAAATGACTATTCAAGAAAATTTTAAGATGATAACACCTTTTTCTAGGAAAGAGGGCTCCCTAAATGACTATTGATCATGATCCGAGAGGTTTCATGCTAGCTCACTTGAACTCAATCGCAAGGAGTGAAATCCTAGGGCTAATTCGAGATGTTGCTAACTGCTAACTATTCTCTAGTGACGTAGACATTGAGGTAAACCTTGACGGTATGTATGATAAATTTGCTACGACCAATGCTTCGTTTCGGTATTCATGAAGCAGTAGAAAGGTGTAGATAAAAATTCCTCATGCTCGATCGTGTTTTGAGTGAAACTACTCGAGTATTGATCAAAGTGATGATATGGATGGATATAGTGTGGCTCGTGCCCCTGAAGCTATGACTTCAAGCCCACCAGGCCCAAAATTTAGCGCAAGGCTGCAAATAAATAACAAGCGACTTAACCTCAAATGCCGTGAAATATCTCTATAACCAGATATTTTCACCTCCAGTATCAACATGTCGGGTGCTACGGATATGGATATCTCGACCAGAAAGCGCAAAGAACGCGATGAAGACTCTGCGAACGCCATCCCGAAGACTGACGAGGAGAATTTGATTAATGGAGCGCATCCAGAAGCAGAACCGACCCCCAAGCGACAGAGGACGGTTGAGCCTAGGCCGGTGCACATCGAAGATGAGGAGGATTTAAAAAATGGAATGGAGGACCTTGAAGTTGAGGATGAAGGGCTGAAAGTTGTGGTTCCTCGAGAAAAGGCTCCAATGGAAGGCTATGATGATCTCTACCTCGATACCATAAATCGCAATGTACTCGATTTCGACTTCGAGAAGCTTTGCTCCATTTCCCTTTCAAATATCAACGTATACGCTTGTTTAGTGTGCGGGAAGTACTATCAGGGACGAGGGACAAAGTCTCATGCATATTTCCATGCTCTTGAAGTAGGGCACCACGTATTCATCAACATGCAAACACAAAAAGTCTATGTTCTGCCAGAAGGTTACGAGGTCAAAAATAAGAGCTTGGATGACATAAAGTTTGTGTCTGATCCTACATACACAAAAGAGCAGGTCATGGCTATGGATCGAGAAGCTAAAACTTCGTGGACTTTGTCTGGCAAAGAGTATATACCAGGCTTCGTCGGTATGAACAACATCAAAGACAACGACTATTTCAATGTAATAATACAAGCACTTTCCCATGTACCACCACTTCGAAACTTTTTCCTATTGGAGGACTTTCGTAACAAACCGGAACTCATAAAACGTGTCTCAATTCTTTTCCGAAAAATATGGAATCCAAGGGCCTTCAAATCTCACGTCTCTCCTCACGAACTTCTCCAAGAAATCTCCCTCAAATCCAATAAGAAGTTCAATTTAACCACCCAGTCCGACCCTGTCGATTTTCTCTCCTGGTTTCTTAACAACCTACATCTCGCACTTGGAGGGTCCAAAACCAAACCCGGCTCTTCAGTAATCCAAAAGATATTCCAAGGGAAACTAAAAGTCGAATCTCAAGCTATCACCGCCAAAGCCGACGCTGGTGATCGATTACGGTTTGAAGATGCTGATGTCAAAACAGACGTTAGTAGATTCATGCTACTGACATTAGATTTACCAGCAGCGCCGTTGTTTCAAGATGAATTAGAACGAAATATCATTCCCCAAATCCCTTTGACCAGTATACTCGCAAAATACGATGGTCTGAAAGCCCAAGAGCATCTCAATATGCGCAAACGTTATCGGTTGCTTCACCCACTTCCGCCCTTCCTCCTCTTCCACATAAAACGCTTCTCTCACAACAAATTCGTCGACGAACGCAATCCCACCATCGTCACTTTTGACGCGCGCAATTTAGATATGTCACCATACATTGAACCTGATATGAAACACGCTAGACCCGGTGAGCCGATATGGTATGATTTAGTTGCAAACATAGTACATGAAGCAGTTAGGGGGCGAGAAGATAGTGTAGAGGGAGAATCGGAAAAGAGGAGTTGGAAGGTTCAGTTGAGAGATAAAGCGACGGGAGAGTGGAAGGTAGTACAAGATTTGTTTGTGGAAGGAGGCCAGAGAGAGTTCTTGCACTTGGGGGAGAGTTACTTGCAAGTTTGGGAGAAGAGGAGGGAAGTTGCGGGGAAGGGGAAGGGGAAGGGGAAGGCTAATTAGTGGGGATTCCAAACTCCATTTCGGTCCTCCCTCAACACAACAGAGATGATGATTCAGCTCCAGCTTTATTATGTACATCTCCAAATACTCTCGACTTTCCCTGTAGGACTAGATTGCTCAGGTGTTCTTAGGCTAGGAAAAAGCTGAGCGAGTGTATATGCCGAGTGAGCATGAATTGCTAAGACAAAATGTTAGATGCGAGATAAGCGTGTTGTAAATTATAGTTAGGAATGATACCAGGGAATTTGAAAGTCATAAAAGTTAGGGAGTAATGAATATTTGTCATGTTTGAAGTGTACATCTTATTGATCAATTCTTTGCATTGCCATCGATGACTCTTGGCAGAACGTGGTGCTCAGAAGAGTACGAGTCGCCTAATTCATCCCTCATTTCCAATGTGTTTGCGTTTAAGTAGACAAACCAGCCAGGCATAAGAGCGGATGATTTGATAGTCCTCGGTTGGTAAATAAGTTCAGGAGAGGAAACCATTACGAGTACGGACTAGAAGCATGTTAACATTCTCAGAATACAAACATGGGCACCAAACCCGAAACACCAGTCACATACACATATAAGTCAAGAATTTCGAGAGCTAGAAGCTAACTCATTATGAGTGGTATATATACCCTATTTTCATACATACAAGCAAGGTAAACGTAAGGACAAATGAAGATATCATGCATCCATCCTTTTGTATCACAAAACTCCTCCGAGCCAATTAATCTCCGGCTATAAATTGCACACAAACAATTACATGCAAGTTTATGCCTTCCCCGTATCTTCATCGGCATGACCATTTACATTATTAGTAATCTGTTTCCTCGAGACTTCAAATACTACTGCTCCATTCCTCCCTGCTGGGGTCTTTTGCCAGTTACCCAAACGATGGGCTTTTCCTACTGCTGCGACGATGCATACACCATCCTTTCCCCTGTCTCCCCGTTCGAAAACTGATAAATCGTTTATGATGCCGCGCGCTGGTGCTTGAGATTCATGTACAGGTGCATCCGTGCCTTCCGTAGTGGCATCAGAGATTCGACCGACGGGACCTATGGGTTCGAGACTCTTTCTATCGTGGCTTACTCTCCAAGCTCGGACTACGCCATCCCAGCTGCCACTTAGCACGACGTCAGAGTACGGGATCGTGGTTAAGGCGGTGATCCAGCGGGGTGAGGGGCGGGGCACGACCCTTTTGGCGGGGTCTGTCTCGGCGGACGCTTCTTCGGGTTTTATTGGTTCATCTGCTCCGTGGGCAAGAGTTAATGTGTAGATTGGCTTTTTCTTGTGGATAGTCCATAAAGAGAGTGATCCATTGTCACCCCCGGTAATGAACATATCCTCATCAACCATAGCAATACGATCGATACTGCCCTCGACAGTACGGAGATCGTTGAAGTTATTTTTGTGACGAGATTTCTTCTCGCTCCCACCACCACGGAAAACAAGTTGTGTTTCCTCGACCACTTTCCACAAACGGGCTGTACGATCTCGAGCGCCAACTGATATGCAACGTTCTTGTGCAAGAGAAGCAATATCCACGACTTCATCTTGATGACCGAACAACGTTTCAACATATGCACCTTCATCCAAACTCCATATTTTGATTGTTCGATCCTTAGAACTGGAGTATAATTGATTTGTGCCTCTTCTGAATGCTAAGCCTGTAACGGCGTCTCGATGTTGCGAAAAGACTCGGATAGGTCGCAGAGTTTCTGCATTCCAAACAATGATCTTACGGTCCGTTCCACCAGTCACAACGAATTTACCGTCCTGCGATGCAGCCACACTAATGATAGCGTCGGTATGTCCCATGAAAGATGTTACTTTTGACTTTCGTTGATCTCCTCGTACTGAAGCTACTAAGGTAGGCTTTTTCTTGGGCGGTGGTGGTAGCTTTTTACTCTTCTTTTTGCCCTTCTTTTGAGGATATTGGTCCCGTGGTAACTCCTGTATCCTCCATTTGACCAGCCACATATCCTTGGTCACAGTGTACACATGCGGCGCGCATGTAGCTACACCTGTGAACGAATGCGAATCCTTCTTAAAATGGCAACTCGATGCTTCCCCAAATTCTAATTCGTCTGCCAATGTTTTGTATATTTTCCCTTTCGATTCCGCGACATCTTCTTCTAAACGCTCGGCGATTAGATCTCGATCGATGTCCTCGGCATCAAATCCAACACCGTCATCTGCTACCTCTTCCCGAATATTCTGTAAATATCTTTCCGCGAGTCTCAGCCTGCGCTCTGCCGCAGTTTCCTCCTCTCCGTCTCGCGCTAGATCATCCTCCGAGGAACTTTCTGCGATATCATCATCCAATTGACCTCCCTCACTCTCGGAATCGCTCCCGGAAATCGACTCATCTCTTTGGGGTCTTTTCGCAGGTTTTGACTGTTTTTCTGGGGTTCTCGATGAGGCTGCTAATCTTTTCTTGGGTATTTCTGGGGCATCATTTCGTTTCCTCTTCTTTTGAGCATTGGGTATCGTAAAGAAAGAGGACATAGTTGGGGTGGTTGTGGGAAAAGAAGCTCGTGGTGGAAAAGGTAAAAAATGTCTGTCTTATCGAAATAATTTTTTTGGGGGAATTATTCTGCCGCAGAATTTCGAGACAGGGATTAGGTGGATCCAGAACGGAGCCGTCAACACGTGACATATCTCTTACCCTGAGATCATAATATACCTTACAAACCTACCAAATAATTGAGACAAGAGACTAGTATGTTGAAATTAGGTACTCTTACATATAATTCAAATGCCCTTGGCTAAGAAAAATGAATGATCAAATTGAAAATTCAATCAATCGATGAGCTCAATCATTCTTCAATCAGAAATGGTATTCTTTTAAGCCTTTTGGCGCTAAGTCATAAGTCTACTAGCGCCGTATTGGTGAGGCAGCCAGAGCTACACGCGTTGGAGCTCCAAAGTCTCAATACCTACCCAGTTATAACAATCTGAAGCTTCATCATTCAACTTTAGAACAATATCAACATGTAAGTGTGAACATTGCAATATCTATGCGAAACTCTACTAATGCATGTCATCATCTCTTAGGGAGGTCTTACTTGGAATAACTGGCAAAGACTTTACCATCATTGCGGCCTCAAAAGCTGCTATGAGAGGTGCAACCATTCTCAAAGCTTCCGATGACAAGACAAGAACGTTAAACAAACACACTCTGATGGCATTTTCTGGAGAGGCTGGAGATACAAGTAACTCTCTACTATTTTTTTAGAGCACAACATAATGCTAATATTGGCGCTTCACAGTTCAATTCGCAGAATACATTCAAGCCAACGCTCAACTTTACTCCATGCGCAACAACATTGACCTCTCCCCATCTGCTGTCGCCCACTTTGTCCGTGGTGAATTAGCACAATCCCTCCGCTCCCGCAAACCATACAACGTCAACCTTCTCCTCGGCGGTGTTGATCCAATCACCGACAAGCCCAGCCTATATTGGCTCGACTACCTGGCATCACTTGCACCTCTCCCATATGCAGCTCATGGCTACGCACAATATTACTGCTTATCGATTCTTGATAAACATCATCATCCAGATATTGACTTTGAACAAGGAATGAAAGTTTTGAGGATGTGTACGGATGAGTTGAAGAGGAGGTTGCCGATTGATTTCAAGGGGATGACTGTGAAGGTTATCACGAAGGAGGGCATCAAGGAACTTGATTATGATGATAGTGCGAGAATTGATTGTCCTTAAGGGATCATTTTGAGGATGAATGGACATGAGAGGCTTTTTATGACAGGAGATAAACTATGAACCAAGGGATGGGTGTATATTAGCGTGGCATCAAATGGCATCAAATGGCATCAAACGGCGATCCCTATCTTGATTATTTCTCAGAGGAGATTGGCGGTGATTCGATCTAAGGACATACCCTATAATTGTCAATGCTTTTGAATGACGTCCCGCTGGTCATCCCATGGGTGGTCAAGGCAGCCGCTGCCATTGCGGCTACCTTTATAATCAAAATACACTCAAAAGACTGCGCAGATGCGGCTCAATCTACCCATTCGCTTGGAATCATATAGGCCTTGGGTGAGGCAATGTTTCTCCACGCCTTCTCCCCTTTCCCATCATTTATGTCTCGCCTGCATGCTACTTGAATGAATGATTTTTGATAACACAAACACGTAGTCATCAAATACAAGATTCGAGGTTGATGCTTCCCAATAATAAGATGAATTATCCAAGACATGATGTGGAAATATGGGATCAACTATAAACTGTTTGTCAAGGAGATAGATGTTGAGAGGCTTGTGATATTTACATGGCGATTTAATAGGTGCTGGATCGCTGTTATACATAATCACAGTACCTATCTAAAAGCTCATATTTAATTTCTTCTTCTCATATCAAGAATTTCAAGATCATTTTCTGACTGAAATGTGAGATACAGAATGATGGATATATTCGCCCTGAATGCTTCGCTGAACCATAACCTACTAGGTCGTAAATATGCGACGTCATTTGATACAGGATTGTTCGGGTGAATATCGGACCTAAGGCAGATAGATGAGCATAAAGAAAAGAGAAAAGAGAAAAGAGAAAAGAGAAAAGAGAAAAGAGAAAAGAGAAAAGAGAGGAAAGAAAAAAACTTTGGGAATAAAATATCTTTTAGACAGAGAGGTACGAGACTACGAACATTACAAGACTATTTGATACCAGTAGGTAAGTAGGGAAAGAGAATACAGATTATGTTTGATGTAAGATCTTGTTTACCGTACCTATGTGGTAAGTATCTACTCTACCTAGCTAGTCATATCATATATCAGCAAGGCAGTATACTACATAGACTTCATATAATGATAACCCCGATGAGCTCTGAAACTGTGATGAGGATGTTCATGGATAATGAAGTCAAGTTTTGAGGTCATTTGGGGAGGCGGGAGGGGGAAGGTAGTAAGTACATAGGTATACGTAGATATCTAGTAGACAGAGGTATGAAGAACATATACACTTGTGCAGTTCTATATGGGCCTACACCTACTCTACATCTACTTATCTATACATTTACCACCTTTTCTACCTTTTCTACCTTTGCTACCTTTTCTACCTTTTCTACCTTTTCTACCTTTTCTACCTTTTCTACCTACCTAGTAGTACCTGCCTAGATAACTACCAAATTGATGTCAATAAAAAGATTAGCGTAGAATCTTACTGTACTTTCTAACTAAATTCGGTTAAAGTCCTTTTTGATTTTTTTGCCTTCAACAACGATTCAATCAGCTTTATTTGCTCCCCGTGCAAATCTGAGCCAAAATCAAAATCTACAAAATTCTCCTCTCTCTTCTTTCCAAACCCTCTTCCTCTTAGAAAAAAAACACAAAAATTAAAAACTCCCCCCTCATCATCTCAACGGATAACCTCTTTTTTCTCTCCCCTTATCAATTCTTTCTCTTTTCTTGTTTCTGTCTTTGAGAGTTTCTTTCGAAGGCCATCAAAACGACGTAAAAGAGTTTAACGATTGTGTCAACATTTACATTTCCTTCCTCTTCTTATTATAAAGACGAACGGAAGCAAACAATCCCGGAAGATTTTTCTTTTGAATCGTTTCGATTGAGTTTCGGTTTCTTAGATTTTCATCTGCAATCTCAAGATCTTCTTACGGTCTCTGATTACGATCTCACTGTCTTTTCACGAGGTTTCAAAATTTACACGACGACTTTCTAAAGTCACCTAATTTGTTCGATAATACCACGACCGAATCACGAAGAAACCTCTTCAATCGATACATCAACATCACGAATATCAAAGTACCATCTCCTAGATTCTATTCAATATGGCGGATCAACTTAACATGAATGGTCTCAACCTTAATGGTGGTGAACCACGCTCATATATTCCTCCCCACATGCGAGGCAAGATGGGTGGCCCTGCTCCAGCCGGTCCACCAGCAAACTTGAATGGCAGTGCTTGGGCTCCCCAAGGGTGAGTTATTGAACCTTCACCAGCATGCCTTTGAGATGATCGATATACTAACCCCTTTTTTCTTTTAGCAACGGATACGCTAATGGTCCACGTCCAGCTGGAGGCGATTCTTGGGCTAACGCTCCCGACTTCACCCCACGCGGAAATGGTGCTCCACGAGGTGGGAATAACTGGAACCCATCTGGTCCTCCATCCTTCAACAAGAACGCATATGGTAACCCTGCGGCAGGAGCTGGTGGGCCTGGTGGCGCTGGCGGAGCTGGTGGTGGCGGTGGTGGTGCTGGCCAAGCTCGTGGTGGTGGAGATGGACAATGGCGAGATGGAAAACACGTTGCTGGTCCTGCAAACGCTCGTTTAGAACGTGAGCTCTTCGGTGTTGCAGATGATCCAACCAAGCAACAAACCGGTATCAACTTTGAAAAGTACGATGACATCCCAGTTGAAGCATCTGGTCAAGATGTTCCTGAGCCAGTTCTCAAATTCACCAACCCTCCACTCGATGACCATCTCATCAAGAACATCGAGTTGGCACATTACAAGGTCCCAACTCCGGTTCAGAAATACTCTATTCCAATCGTTATGGGTGGTCGTGATTTGATGGCTTGTGCCCAAACTGGTTCAGGAAAGACTGGTGGTTTTTTGTTCCCCATCTTGTCTCAAGCTTTCCAAACTGGTCCATCTCCTATTCCAGGCAATGCCGCAGGAAGCTTTGGACGCACTCGAAAGGCATACCCAACCTCTTTGATCCTCGCTCCCACTCGTGAGCTTGTTTCCCAAATTTACGATGAATCACGCAAATTCGCCTACAGATCTTGGGTTCGCCCTTGTGTTGTTTATGGTGGTGCTGATATTGGTTCCCAACTCCGTCAAATGGAACGCGGTTGTGATCTCCTCGTTGCTACCCCAGGTCGTCTTGTCGATTTGATTGAGCGTGGCCGTATCTCCCTCCAAAACATCAAGTACTTGGTTCTCGATGAGGCTGATCGTATGCTGGACATGGGTTTTGAACCACAGATTCGACGAATTGTTGAGGGTGAAGATATGCCAGGTGTCCAAAACCGTCAAACTCTCATGTTTTCAGCCACTTTCCCCCGCGATATTCAAATGCTCGCTCGTGATTTCTTGAAGGATTACGTTTTCTTGTCTGTTGGTCGTGTTGGTTCTACCTCTGAGAACATCACCCAGAAGGTTGAATACGTTGAGGACATTGATAAACGTTCTGTTCTTTTGGACATTCTCCACACTCACGGTGCTGGTCTTACACTCATCTTCGTTGAAACTAAGCGCATGGCCGATTCCTTGTCAGACTTCTTGATCAACCAAAACTTCCCTGCCACCTCCATTCACGGTGATCGTACTCAACGTGAACGTGAACGTGCTCTTGAGATGTTCAGAAACGGTCGATGCCCAATCCTCGTTGCAACCGCTGTTGCAGCTAGAGGTTTGGATATCCCTAACGTAACTCACGTTGTCAACTACGATCTTCCTACCGATATTGATGACTACGTTCATCGTATTGGTCGTACGGGTCGTGCTGGTAACACTGGTATCTCCACCGCATTCTTCAACCGTGGAAACCGTGGTGTCGTCCGTGATCTCCTTGAACTTTTGAAGGAAGCCAACCAAGAGGTTCCAGCTTTCCTCGAGAACATTGCTCGTGAAGGTGCTGGTTTCGGTGGTGGTCGAGGAGGTCGATCAGGCGGTCGTGGACGCGGTGGTGGTGCAAACCGTGATTTCCGTAAGTTTGGTGGAGGAGGAGGTGGCGGTTTCAATGGAGGTGGTGGCTTCGGTGGACCTCCAGCCTCTGGTGGATATGGCGGTGGTGGTGGATTTGGCGGCCCACCTGCTCCAGCTAGCTACGGACCTCCACCAGGGCAATATGGTGGTGGTGGTGGTTACGGTGGTGGCGGTGGAGCCTATGGCAATCCAGTAAGTTAAACCCTTTGTAATTTCTTTATTTACAGCTCCCTACGACAAATTACTAACTCTCGCTTCTTAGTCTGCTGGTGGTGGCCAGAGTTGGTGGTAAACATCACTGAAAACGCTTCTCGTCCCTTTTTCGAATTCTCATTTCGATTCCGGTACTCTCTAGATCTTGGACAGAGGCATCATACGGATATTAATGGTCTTTGTACCTCTCATTGATATCAACACATTTTCTTTTTTTTTCTTTCGACTTTTCGACTTTTCCTTACAGCTCAGCTTCAGATTTGCTCTGCATCGAATTATTCTGCGCTTTTTCGATTTTCCGGTGGCGGTATCCACGATTGAAGTCTTCTTTTGCATTAAGCGATAGAGCCGACTTTACACGTGGTCTCAACCATTGATCGGCATACGATAGAACCTGTCTTTTGTTTATGATTGTCTGTCGCCTCGTCTCGATACCCATTTTAGATTAAAGGCGACTAGGCAGATTCCATGAGACGTCAACCACTTACGGCGTACCGGTCATGATGCTTTTTTTTTTACCTGGAAAAGTGGGGTGTAAATGCTTTTACCTGGGTTTTTCAAAGAACGCATTATGACGGTTATGTTCTCCAAAAACTTTCTGATCCATTTCGACGGGTCATAAAAATCCTCCGCCATGGAAGATCTTGCAAATATCTTCGTTGTCTTTACTTTGCATTTTGCTGCGTTTCTAGATAGATAAAAGTGGGATTCATATTCTCGACCTTCTTAATGTGTTTTTTTCACACAATGACACATGGCATGGAAGGATATCATTTTGAGAGCTTGAATTGAAGGCTTTACTCTTTACTTTTTCATTTTTCCCATCATCTGCGAGTGAGCGTCTTTTACGATCGATTCGATATACGACAGTGGCACAACGTAGAATAGGCATTTCTCTTTAAAGGAAGAGTTGGTGCTTGTTCTCAATAACGCTGATGGCATTCGGAAGTGCTCCTGTCCATTCAGGCTGAGACTGAGACCCAAAAGTTGGCATTTAAGCTGACAGGCAGGCAGAAAGAAGTCTGCTTTACATGATTGATGGAGGAAGAAATATGGGATGGGATGGATGGTCAAATTACTTTGAATCAAATAAAGTCTTTCCACAAATAATGCACTCACTTGTTTGATTATATGATTATGTGATGTACTTATGATGAAAGTTGGTATATGTATAAGTGTCTGCAATCTTTTTTCTATCTTGCTATTGGGGAAAGTGTCCTACTAATGTTGCAAACAAAGTCAAATTCCGACGCTTTTTGGTATTTTACGCTACCTACCATCTCAACCGTCTTTCTCACCCCTCTCTCTTCCTTAACCCTCTTCCTTACCCCACTCAACCCCTCAAAACAGAAATCGAGCTCCATATTCAAGCTTCATCCAGATCTATGTACAGCGCTGCCGAATTCTCGTTCAGCTGCTCCGCCTTGCAGTCTTCCATAATGATCTGCTTTGGCTGCGGAATCTGGCAAAGAAAGTCGTTTTTCTTTTGTGGTAGAATCCTGGACTCTAAGTGTGAGTGAGGCCTGAAGGTAGTCTGTGAATCTGGGATTTGGTAACTTGGTAACTTGGCAATCCCTGTCGTAGTACTTGGCTGTAGTGCCCAGCCAAGTAGTTATACTTATCTAGACAATCAAAGAATAACCTTGAACAAGGTTGAAGCAATTAGATGATACACCTGAGAGACTTGAATTAAGTAAGGAGCCTAAAATGGCTGATGGATGAGGATGAGGAATTCCGTTGACGGAATCGCTTTCTCGTATATCTCAGTCGGCCAGAAGTGTTATCTCCAGCATTTGTCAAGCCTGACATAGGACCTAACAGAAAATTTGATGGATAGAGGATGAACTACTTGAGGATGGTAAAGTTGAGATGGAATAATAGGAGAGAAATTCAGAATTGTTCTCTATTTTGAAGATTATCAAGCCTTTAGAAACTCTATAGTAGAAGTGAATGCTGCATAAGTGATATAGTGAGTTCTGATTATCATTTCATTTCCTTATTCGGATGGTTTGACCCAGACGATGAACTATCTTCACTCAGTGACACGTTCCTAACCACCCGTCATCACAATTGCCTTTGGTTAAGTGGTTACGGTTGATAGATTTTTTAGCTGACATGTTTGTTAATTGAATATTTATATACACTTCTCTGTAGGTTTTAGTCCCCCGACGAGGACTTTAGGACAGCGCGCCCTTGGGTCTTCGTGTTTTATCCCCTTATACCCGATTCAGGGGAATCTGCTTTGCGCCAGACGAAGTTTACTTTCGTGATATTTCTGGATTATCTGGTAATTCCTAGCAAGGTTGATCCTACCATAGGAAGTTCTTTCCTCCCGAATGGTAAAAATCGCAGACTATTTCGTTAAGCATCCGCTTAACTAATGAGTAATTTTTCCTTTTGTTTTACGTCATTTACTTTAATCCTAGAGGTGTTCCTAGGTTTATCCGCTAATTCCTAGTAGGGTTTCATCACAAGACGTTCTCTCTCTATTAGATCTAACCGTAACGGACGGATTTTGTTTTTTTAGTGTGCTAGATAATTTTCTTTGATAATGGACTTCACCATTCTACTAACGCTCTTGTGCTAAACTTGACATCGATTTAGTGATTATTTAATGCTCGGCCACCCTCATCCGTTCTCACTCGATCCTGGAATCGAATACTTCCGGGGCTTTTACGCCCTGAGGTTGTTTTGGTTACCGCATCTTGACGCAGAGTTGCCCATCCTCTGCCCTGTATTTATCTAGGTGATGGATTTGCTGTCTCCTTTAGACCTTATCTACACAGCAGGGTTGGGCAAAGGGTAAGGTACACCCGGGGCATTTTCTACTGGGTAAACACCCTGCTCTAGCTTTTGAGGTAGGGTAAATACCCTATGAAATATCGAAGGGTACGGGTAAACCCGCCGGGTGTTGCATGTGAGATTCACGTGAGACTTAGGTTTTGTAGGGTAAATACCCTGCAATATCCTGTGGGGTAGGGTAGATACCCTAGAAGCCCAAATACCCCGGGTACGGATAGGGTGCCCATGCCTGCTACACAGATTATAAGGGGTCTACTTTAATGTCACTCTGCTCTTATACTTTCTTCCCTGTATTCTTTCCAGGTTTTCGCCAAATCTACGACTTCGGTGGGGCCGATTCCAATCATGCCTTATAAATTCCTTCTCCCTTTTCAGCGGGTTACTGGAAGGTGGAATTGTTTTAAGCTCTGGCCTGCCTTCTTCCAAAGCCTTTCTCCCCCTTAATTCGGGCAGAGACACCTTTATGGGCTGTGCGTCGGTTGCAAAACTGTTAATACCTTACCTCCCCTTACAGTGCTTTTATTTTATAGTTAACCTAGATAAGATTTCTTTGTAAACTCTATTCTATTACACTATGGAGATATTATCCATATTGAAGGGCTACAAAGGATTATCTAAAACAATTCACCTCGTTTATCTTAAGTGCTGATAATTGCAATAGACCAATAGTTTTGGATCCGGTATGTTGTAGTATGTTCTGAAACAAAAGGGCGTTGTCCGTGTCGACCGAGGATTTTTGAAAAGAGAAGTGAGCGGATGTCTGGATAGCTGTTTTCCTCGGCCATTTTCCCCAGTACCGGTAATTTCTGATATTATCTACAGTACGGGAGCTGTTCTCTAAACTGTCCGATAGGAATTTAGTCATGCAAACCCTATAATAGGTAGTGAACTTGAATATAGAGTACGATCTGCACATAGTACGAAGAGTCTTGATATCATGAAAGTTTGTGGAAATCATGAGATAATCTGTGAAACTAGATCAATATAATCTGGCCCATCTTTCCCTAATTGCTAAATAGATTAACACGCAAATCCCGATACTATTGGGTGGTATAAAGGCATCTGGCCACTAGGAAGGATACTCAGATTCGAGAAAGCTTCTAATTAGTGGGTAAGAACCCGAGAGATAAGAACTATTAATGATCTATTCGGACTTTTAATCAATGATCGCATGCAATATGGGATCACTCAACATCTTCTATCACAGAATGGAGAGCATTAAAGATTACTTACTCCAAATTCTCTGATACATCAAGGATATCACAAAGTCAAATATACTAATGTATAGGTGTGGGAAACTATGAGACGGAAAATGATAATGGGAGCTTCATATAGTAAAAAGTATCATGGTAGAGAAAAGAGAAAAACTATATACGGTCCAGAGTGAGTAATAACACCCCCAACCACACCTCTAACCACCCCACATCCCATCCCAAAGCAACTCAAAACCACAAACCCCATAAACAATGGAACCAGGTGCCACCTGATTATACGACCAAGGGTGGCGAGGACCAAGGAAGCGGAGCGAGTCGAAAAGGGGAATTGGGAAAGAGGGGAAGGAAAGAAGAGGATTATGCAAAAGCTGATTTCAACGGCAGTTTGCTACCACCAGCTTTACCAATATAGAGGGCTAAATACCCTTGGTTCAGATGATGTACACAATAATGACCATCACCACCATTGCACGGGGCGCACGGTCTTCTAGGATCCCGTACTGATTTGGGTTTGCACTTGCCAGGTGCAGCTCGGCAGAAGCAGAGGGGGCAGCAATCCATTCCTTTGGTCCTATCGACACATTAGACTTGTACAAGTATATCTATAGAAGATCTTGAGACTTACCTCCATTTGATATCCTTCTCATCCCATTTTCTGATTGACGCAAGAAGTCCGTCATTTCCTAACGTAAGTCAGCAATTGTCATATGGAACTGACAAGGTAGCATGGATTTGACTTACATGTTCAGCGAATTTGGGTGGGCAGAAAACCACTTCAATGTTGTATCTAGAATCGCTCAATTCACTAATAAGCTTTCCGGTAGCAATTGGCAAAGCTTCATGCTATGAAAATTCAGTATCTGATATAGAGAAGATAAGGTCATAACTTACAGGATTGAGCTTATACGGAGTAAGCTCAGTAAAGCCGGACAACAACTCGGATGTGTCAAATGGATCAGTTGTAGCTTCGAATAGCATCGAAGTATCGGTGCCAGAGGTCATATGACCTTGAACAGGTCTCCATAGTCTGGGAGTAACTGACATTTGTGCCATCTTGGCAACATATTCCGCCTTTATGTTCTCAGCCTCCAAAGCGGCCTTCTTGGCTAATTCTCTAGCCTTGCGAGAAACAGCCCTATCCCTCCTCAATCCATCCCTCTCTTCGCTATATGCTTCAATAGAATCCATCAGAAGATTCCCTAAATAGGGGATCTGCTCCAAAGTCGCCTCCACACGGCGATCAATATTGCTAGGAACAGACTTCCCCGAAGCCAACTGGCCAAAATTCTCGATTGCTTTTTGAAGATCATTAGCCTTGGCAACTGTGCCAGCATTGAGGGTGGTGGTGGGGGAGCCGAAGGTTGGAGAAGGAGAATTTGAGTGTTTTCGGGGGGGAGATTGGGGATGAGGATCTAATTGGTAAAACTTTGGGAGTCTCAGGATCATGAAAAGGGGAGTGGATGGGAGAGGCCGGTGAATATATGCATGTTAACCATGAGGTTCCTTTGAGAAAGCCAAATCGAGGCAAATCTAGACTTACAAATTGAGGAGGGGTATGGTGGTGGATAAGGTGCCCTTGACCTTCGCCAAAGTCATTATCATCCGTGGTGTCTTTGTCGGGAACTGAGGTGGCTTCTTCTTGGAATCCAAATAAGGAATTGAAATTGGGAGAATTGTTTCGAGACATTTTTGAGCATATGATCCACGACAAGGAGATAAGAATTCTACAGCTGCAAAGCTGGGTTATATACTTAGATTACTGGATGATCTTGAACCATTCTGATGTACATCTTTAGATCTATTGTAATTCAATTCATCACAATAGATATGAGTTTACTTGCACAGAATAAGACTATTGCAAAACGCGGGGTGCTGGAGAAGTGGTATAGACTGGCATCATCACAATAGATCATGTACACCTATTGATCCAGAAGCATGTATAATAGAACTATCTAATCTATTAATATTGATCACACTAGACCATCACAATAGACAATGTACACCTATTGATCTAGAATTATAGTACTTTGTAATCTATTGAACCTCAATCACATTAGACTATCACAATAGATATGAAACTAACTCTACAGTTTTAGATCATTACAATGGAAACAGAAAGTCTATTAGACAATCAGAACACACCTATATCATCACAATAGTTAGTTTGCACCTATTGATATAGACATAGATTTAGATCAGTACAATAGAACTTTCACTCTATTGAACCCAAGATTGTGCTAATCCATCACAATAATGAGTCATGCCTATCATAGTTGACGCAAAAGTGAGGCAGAGGTTCAACTTGATACTCACCTTCATTATGATTGTGCTAAAATTAGCGAGTCGAAAATGCTTCAAATCACAATAGCTGAAATTACGGGAATAAGCGTAATATCTTTCATAATAGAGAAATACCATCCACAATAGACATGCTTGATTTCTAGATTTCTGGAAAAGTGCTTAGATACGCTTCTCTTGAGTAAAATTTGAGCTCTTTGGACATCTTCCGTTTTCTTATACTTCATTTCCATTTCCCATTTCCATTTCCATTCCCATTCCCTGTTCCCATTCCCTATTACCAAAATGAAGGAACAAACCGATGAGTTCGTGAGAACAATTGATCTTCTTGGTCATTATATCTTGATGACTGAAGTTACTGAGTCTGATCTTTCTGACACTGAAACAAAAAAGCAAAGCCTCTTGATGGGAGGTGCTACCATTGTTCCTATGATTCTAAATGCTATTGGAGATATTTCAGAGAAGGCTTTAGCTGGCATCATTACTGTATGTACATCTTTCTTTGGTTCTCGGATTTACTAACATTTCAAATCTAGGGAACCTTTTTGCGCGATCACTTGGTTATGGAACCACCTAGCCAGTTTCCAGGAGATACAAATCAATTGAGTCCATCTTAGCATCGGTTGTTAAGCGAGGTCGTATCCAACATCAGCTTCTCGAAGGTTAGTATTCATCATTTATGTCTTTGATAATCGGTTTCTAATTTTACATAGGTCATATGTCTCCGGTTTGGGTCTCCTTAGAATGTTTGGCAGCCTCAAAGGAGTTTCATGCTCAATATCATAGAGAGAACCCTTCAAAGGACCGATTTGGTGAACTCGATATGAAGTCGACTGTCTTACGAGTGAAAAATATGAAAGAAGATGTTGATCATATCATTTACGCCCACTGGCATCTGGATGTCACCGCTAGTAGCACTCTCTTTCTCTCTCCTACCATCAAAGAGCTCAAAAATATTTTGGCAAAGGTCGAATTATACGGCACTACCATGACTTTTGAGACTCATGGTGCTCAATTCACAGAGCAGCAAGCTTACATTCGTAAAGGTAAGTGTTTTCTTCCTACTACATTCATACTAACATGTTCCAGTGGATAACACCTTGAAGGACTATGGCATTTCTCCGGATGGATGGAAGCCTGCTTACAATGATCTTGGCCATAAGCGACATCTTCGGAGAGAAGGGCAGTCAGCTCAAGCCATGAATATCTACCCCAAGAGAATCGAAGTTTTGATGACAGTAATGCTTCCAACGATGCGAAGTGAGCTTGAGAAGTAAGTATTATCCACAAATTTTGATGTTGTTTTATGATATTAACGATTCTTAAAGGTTTGAAACTCCTGAGGATACTCCTCACGCTCGCCCCTGGGTATAAATTGGTTATACCAAACGACCCGACGGGAGAATAAAAAGGCACGCGAGCAACTCGAGTATAGCATCGTATCTTGGCTTTTTCAATACTTATTGTTTTAATTATAAAAAAATTCTAAAACAATAGAGATCATTAAAAAAAGTGAATGATAAGTTTGAAAGAATAATTAAGTTGGCTCCTGTGATCTTTTTCCTCTCTTCGCGTCTTCAATCTATTGTTGAGTATTCACTTTCTTACTTATGCCATCCTTCACTCCACATTTGTGATAGGGCGGTAATAGTAGCGCGTTTTGCCGCGTTTGTGAAGGGAAGGTGAGATATCTCCCGAAACTCCAAAAGCTTGCGATCTTGGCCATTACAACGTCACGACCCACGATCTCAACTCTTCACCATGCCACCCAAACTTACAGAAGATCAAAAGGAACACATCAAATCACCAGAGGACCGTGATATCAATAAGAAAGTCCTCAAATTCAATGTTGACTACCTGCAGCTGAAGAGGGTTATGGATGGGGGCAATGCTACCAAGAAAGATGTGGGGCTTCGTGCCAATAAATTGAAGGAGCATCTGGCGGAAATAGATCGCTCGGTTGTTGAAATGAAGGAGAATGATAGAAGAGAAAGGGAGGCAGGAGAACTTCGTCACAAAAACTTCCTTGCCGAAATCGCCAACACCAAGAGGAAATTGGGGGCCACTACTATCCGGGCAAGAAATTTTGATGAATACCACTTGGCGCTGGCTGATATCGATGCTATGCATCAAAAAAGCAAGGAGACATTGAGAAGCGCGCTCTCAAATGAGCCGGAGATTACCTCTTACCAAGCCAAAATCAAGAAAATGGAGGTCCAGCTTGCCAAAATCGTTATCACGAATGAAATCGATTTGACGGAGAAGGAGAAGGCAAAGATTAGGGGGCAAGTTAGCCACAAAGAATGGGTAGAGATGTCGGAGCCAGCATGGCAGCAATACCAAGATCGATTTGATAAGTTCCTGTTGGATAGAGGTCTGCCTCAACTTGAGGTTGATTATGGACGGTTGGAGAGATCAAGGGAGATGGATCGGAGACGGGAAGCTTTCTTTGCTGAGCAAATCAGTAGTCAAAGCTCAGAGATAGAAGTTGCGGGGAGTGTTGAAGTAGATAATGGGGTGAAGAGGGGTGGAGATGATGCTATCGAGTGGGAGGCATACAATCGGACGGATTTTTATGATGACAATTGAAGAGGAGAGAAGGTGGGGATGCTTTTTTCGATGATTTTAATGGATTTTGTTCTCTAGTTTCTTTCTTGATAATTCTAATCCTTGAATGTGATAGTGATTTCATTGAACACTAATTTTTGCTGTAATTATGACTTGATCCTGAATTTTGAACGATAGTAGTTTAAAGTTAAACTGTGATCATAGAAAGAGAGCACTTTAGAGAGTTGTTTTCCACTTATGAAATTGAATCTTAACGTCAAAAGCCTGTGTTATTGACGAGGCATCATCCGGCTCTGAAGTAGTCTATTATCGGCTCTCTTTACTACGAGCGGTTGAATTTTGGATGAAATCGAGATATTAATTATCTTTGAAATTATCAAACGGCTAATACTAAAAGGCTTGTGAAAACAAGAAGCTCGTTATAAACTGTACTGCATTTCATGAGAAATTAATCAATAGATTCGATTTTATCTAATATCTGATTCGTTCTAAATCTCTTATAACTATAGGACTTCCGTCGATCTTATCTACACTGTGAAACTGGGCTCTGCAAGACGGACTTTTACCTTTGATAAATAAACTACAGATAATCCATTTACAGAACAAATTATTTTAAAATCTAAATAGATAATCTATTTATAATTATATTCGATTTTACTCTATTGAGTTTAAATAAGACTAAGTCTTCTATTATTAATATAAATAATTGTTATTTATTATCAATTAACCTCCTTCGAAAGTTATCATAATGTTTCCCAAACTTCAACTTTATCAGGACATTCTTACCTTCGCGACTGATTTCGCCCATGAACTTGACAGACCTAGACAACCATACAGTGTGACTTATCTGGAGATGATGAACTGTCTTCTTCAGATGCAAAACTCGCAGGGTTGCAACGCATTCAACCCCATCATCTCTGAACAGCTACTCTGGGTTCAAGTACACCTCGACAGTATCCTCTTAAACAATCATACTCATCTCCTCTTCCCATTTTTGTTCGACTTAATTGATAGTCTTCATCTTGTTAATATTCCTAGAACTACTTATCTCGTTTTAGTCTCCAACTTTGAGGTCTTAAAGCTCAATTCTAAGTTGTGGAAAAAGGTTTTAAAGCATTACATCAATCATGCTTCGACAATCATGACGTGGTATATCTTGTCAATTCTGTCCTTCTTATAGTTTCTCTCTGTTGGTCCTCTTGACAAGGTCGCTTCTGTAAAGTTGTCTGATGACGGGAGACTTGTCTTCAAAACTCATGAATATTACAATAAAAATCAAAGAAGCTTCGCCTGTAACATTCATTTCTCTATTGTGTTTGCCATTTATCAAATCATTCCTTGAGGCTTCATCATATCTTACTCTTCATATCAAGCAAGTCGATGATGGAATCTTGATGATGCGTCACGTCGGGGATAGTTCAAAAGGAGATAATCAGGAATACATTTCGACCAAGAGAAGAAACACAATGGTGATGTCGAGGAAAGGGGTCAGTTTGAATTTGGTGATGGACAACGAGTTAGCTATTTGTTCTTATGACTCCGCGTTCAAAACGACCACTTCCTACATTCCGCATCTCTCACCATGTACATGTGGAACAAATAAAATACCTTGACCGGTTGTATTCGGATGAGTTAGAAGAGATGCAAGTCAGTTCAAGAATTTCAGATGAGATACAGGGGGCCGATGCAGTAAATGAATGAAAATTTGCAACCGGCTTCCATTATGTTACCGATCGTCTTGTTTTCATGTTATTTTTGTAGTTAGCACAGCATCTCGCTCAGCCATCTTTAATCACTAAAATAACAAATTATTAGCCATAAATGAATCTTATTCTTCAAGCATAAACTGCATTAACTGTATACATAGATGCTCAAAGTAATTGAAGAAGCCAAAAATATTACTAAACCATTACTAAATCCCACTCTAACGAATTAAGCAAGCTACTTGAGCAAAGTATCAATGAACCCCACAAATTCGAAAATTCCTGCCTCGATATCAATATCCTCACACACCTCTACCACCCATTATTTCCTTGAAGTATGACATGTTCGCCAATGAACATGAATATAATTCTGGTCTTACAACTTGAAATCTGAATACGTCGTCGGTGAACCTTGCTAGATGCCTACGGATGTATGTCTGACGCGGCCCCTCTCGAAAGATGTCATCAATACGAAAGCAATGTCTCATGACCTTGCCAAACAAGTAGAAAGTGGTGTTTGATAATTGCCCTTCCCATAATTTAATCTTGCTATCCAGTCATTAAATGTCTTCAAGTCTCGTAGTTTTCCTGTTCCCACTGTGGTCATTACAAGTGGAGTCATTGACGACGACCTCTTCACCCATAGGTTCAATCCTTTGGAATTTTTTCCGAAACGCGCTTCTGTGGATAGGACTGTAGTTGAGTCTAACAGGTAGATCCCAAAGGCTGATGGCTTCCTTGACCTTCTTAATGTCACGTCCGTCAGACCAAGACTTCATGTAATTTGACATCTATAATCAGGTTAGCAAGGTTCTGACATATAAACTGAATAGGAATATTTACCCAAAAAGAATACATTTTTGGTTGATGGAATGTCTCATCGACTTTAACATTCAACCGACCCCTGAATACAAGTTCAAGTAATCTACAAGCTCGAACCAAATGAAACTTCCGCATATGATATTTGATTCGATCTTGAATAGCATGACTCGGGTCGGAACCAGGTACAGGACTGGACTTGTAATCAAGATCAGGAGTGTAAGTGTATTCTGAATACACAAACGCAGTGTCCAGAATCATTCCGACGGAATCAGCCATGATAGGCATTAGATTTGGGTATTTTGTGAGCATTCTAAAGAAGTAGACCATACGGTCGTTCTGGTTTCCAAACGGATACTTTGCAACATCAAGGAAGTCGGGTAATGAAATAATATGTCTGAGATACATTAGTTTGAGTGTAATGAAAATGATTCAACTTAACTCACGTAAGCATTGCGATGCCTATTTCATTCCTGAGTTTAACATCGAAAGAATCTACGGCAGATCTGCATGCCAAAACATCCTCGGGGACGCGAGACGTATCGATCAATTTCCTAGCAGGAAGAAAAGAAAGGATGGATGCCTGCGACATTCTATCGCAATCGTAATAGTGGACAGTTACATGTACCTTGTTGTAATAAGTAGGGTTATGCTCATGACCTCCAGTGTAAAGATTTCCACCTCTTCTTTCGGGGTTACCGTTCACAGTAAGACCAAGCGAATATATTAAGTCAGAGAAAGTTTCGTACGCCAGCGCATCACAAACTTTTGTTAAAGCTTCGATAGGTTCGAGTTCGCGAGCGATTTGGAGGGACATGTAGTACGACAACTCAGTTTTGCGATTAGAGCTTTGGTTGCGAATAGAGAAGCCTTTGACAGCACGTTGAAAATCGGTTCTGATATTGACTAAAATAAATCGTTAGTATATTTATATCAAGTAAAAGAGACTGTCTATCTTACTATCTTTATCATCGAAGAGGGTGTTCATACTTGGAGTAGTACGGGATTCAGACTGCTCGGGATTATAGAAGTTTTTAGACATTTTGAATGTTTGTTTATATAAAACAAAGATGATAAAAGTATCAACAAAGTGATAAAGACGCGATTTGTTTAACAAAGAAGAGAATTTTTAAAAGAAGAGCTACAGCTCATCAAAATGAAGAATTGTTGGTATTAGAAATTTGGAGATAAAAAAAATCTCTGAAAAGAAAAGAAGCATGTAGGTCTTTAGAATACCAAAGATTTTTTTGTTTTTGTTTTTCTGTTATATTTTTTTTCCTTCTCAAAGTTAACCGAGGGCTAGTATACAATTTGGTGATTTGAAAATTTTAAAAATTCAACTCAAAATCAAAAATCAAAGGAAATATATAGAAATTTAAACTTTATACTTAAGTAATTGTTGAAATAGCAATTCTAAATTCTCACAAAATTTCAATCACTTCTTATCATTAACCACTATATGAAATTATATTATCAAACATCAACTTCGTGATATTAAATTTACTAGACCAAACATCTATTATAGTTTTAACATTGTTGAGTCATTCAATGTGGTGGAGTGTTTCACAGAGTATATTATTCCTAGAAAATGATGTTTGTTTATTAATTGATTTAAGATGATTATAAAATATAATAGTTTCGTCTATACAGCGAAACTAAATGAACTTTATATGCTTAAAGTGAAGAGATTAAAGATACCAAGTTCCGATGTGTCCTTTTTGCTTTATATAAAAGATAATTTACTAACAAGTCAATAGCTCAACAAATGGTATTCAGCTCTCAACCAGTACCAGATGCCGGAGACAAAGAACTATCATTTTCTCTCGCAGGAGACGATGAACCATCCCCTACCTGCTACCAATTCAAAATATCGACCCCATCACCATCCCTTTCTCTAGCCTCTTACTCAATTAATAATTTCCAACTTTTCCGGTGGGAATCAATGGAGTATTGGGACATTAGGAATTGTTGATAAATTCAATTGCGGATACTTGTACCCGGACCGCGGCGGAAAGAGTTTAAAGAGAGGAGGAAGAGGAAGAGTCAGCCTGATATTATTAAAACTCATAAAAAAGTCACACATGAGGATAAAATAAAAGAGTTGTCGATGTGTGTGAGTCAGGTGTATTTGCTTCTCCGTGGCGATTATTCATACCCAGGGTTTTTCAACTACTTCCCAAAAACTTGGTTTGACGATGTATTGCATATCAAGAAAGGTAAAATTTATCACAGGGCATTTTCGAGAAGAATGATTCAAAGTGTGTCTACAACAAGAAGGGCAATCATAATGGAAAGGGGGATTAAGTTTGTTAAATATTTGAAGGGTGAAGGTCTATAGAATAAAGGAATTGAAAATATCAATGGAGCACGGAAAGACTGGTTCAGGAAGCTGGTCACACCAAAATGTGTTGCAGCCATTATGTCTCCGATTGCTAGCAGCGTGGATATAGGGAAAAACCTGGAAGAAAACGAGGGCGAAGGAATCAGGGAGCACATTTTAGATATTGTAGTGGCTACGTTAGAGTGGGCAACTATATTGTTGGAAGGAAAACCAACAACGCCTCTTCCAGAGGACTTACATAGTAGGTAGTATGGGAAGGAAAAATGATTTTATAGAGATAGAAAAACAATAAAAAGACTTCGTGCGGGCAAGTGATGAAAGGGTAGAGTTGAGCGTTAGAAATATAAAGATTTATAGATTTTTTGAAAGAAGGATAAGGAATAAATGAGGAGTTGAGTATATTATTGAGTTTATAAAACTAATTATTATTATAAGGATTTTTTTTGTGATCATTATCGGTGATAAATCTTTTTGATAGAAAGATAATGATTATATTAAAAAATATTTCTAGTTATTATATCCGAAAATTATAAAGATTAAAGATATTTTTATATATTAAAAATATAAATTAGATTTTATAAATCTAATTATTGAAGAATGTATTTTTAATATATATATTGATGATATAGTTATTATAAATCCAAAACAAGAGATTATTAATGAATTTATTAATAATCTTAAAAAATAATTTGATTTAAAAGATCTAAAACTTATTAAAGATATAACAATCTGATCGAGGCAGCAGCTGCCTGAGGTTTTGTATAATTGATAGTTATAAGTTAAGGTTATTAATCATTGTTTATTCATTTGAAAAAGAATTCGCTATTAGATCAATTGAAAGGTAAATAAACTAATTGATAATTAAATTGAATACAAAACTTTTAAATTATGAAATTATTCTGATTATATACTAATCTCTTTCTTTGTATACTAGTTATATTAATTGGTTAGTATAATTAGCATTTCTGAAATGTTAGTTTTACTAATTAACTAGCAAAACTAATATATTATATAATTGATCTTAAAGCTTCTTCTTTTTTAAAGCCTTTCTTTTCCTGAAATACTTATCCCAAAAGCTTTTCCTTTAGAAACTATAACTCTAAGATACAATATTCTCTAAAATGATTATCTCATTTCAGCCAATTAACTAGGACACTTGTCCTAATCTAATATAGTTGTCTAGGATATTTATCCTAGGAATCCTGGAGTTCTATTTGTAAATGATTAGACCCTTTAAAAACAACAGTTAAATCATACCTCTCCTATAATCAGTATGTAAATCATTGATATCAATAATACTACTATAATAAAAACCGTGAATCGTGACAAAAGATTCTTTAAATATTCAAATCGAAAAAAAAGATAAATATAATAATAACTCTTATATTAAAGAATATTATAATTCTAATTACAAAAATAATATAAAAATATATAAATCAATTAACAGATATATATTATTATTACAGAAATCACATACTCTTCTATGATCTCTAATATTACCAGAGGCCTGCGCCCCCCGGACCCCTGGCTTTTCGAGAAAGTCTAGTAAAAATTTAAGTTTTAAAAAGTTTATAATAAATTTAAATATATATATTAGAGTGCAGATAGAATATCAACTTGTTTTTGATAATTGAAAATTTATTATTATTATTATTATTATTATTATCATTTTGAATTGAATAAGATGAATTGAATGAATAAAGTTGAATTGAATGAGTTGAATGATTTCAGTAGAGTTGAACGATTCAATAGAGTTGAATGATTCAATAGAGTTAAATAATTTCAATTGAGTTGAATTGAAAAAAGCTCCAAGTCAGATTTGCCTAAGGTTATAAGGCTTATGCCATGCTTTTGTTAGATTTTTTACCGGGGTATTTTAGACCAATCAGATTGTCAGGATCGCGACTCATTTCTCGACCAATCATATCGCACCCTTAAGCGAACCTCATTTTCCACCACCCACCGGGTAAACCTCGCGTACAGCAAGGTTATAGAGTCGGCAAGCCGACAATAAAAGCTATTCAAACATTGTATACTTTCGGCCATTCTTGATTAACAGTATATATCAAGTCAAGTAGTAGAATAGAGAAGGGCATATGGGTGTTTTAAATGATTAGGCAAACAAGAAACATTCTCTTGATATATATATTAACCATCAATTATTCCTTTATTCATTATTCCTTCTTCATATTCTTTTTTGCTTCTTTTTATACCTTGATGTAGAGTTCTTGAATTTATTCCTTTTATCATAAACCCAACCTTCCTTTATGAAAACAGACAGCTAACCAAGTAAATGTTCTACGAATATATGATCAAACCCTATAAATTCCTTTACTTCTGATTCTAAACTTGTTGATATTGAAACAGTAACGATCTTTGCTAATGATGGGTCAACAAATCGTTGACCAGGACCATGGGTTCTTTCAACATCAGGGAATAACTCATTCAAGGCGGACCAAAAGGAAGATGGATTCAAAAGTAATGACCAATCTCCTGAAGTAGGATTCATACACCAACCAAATCTTGACATATCGTTAGCGACAAGAGATCTTATCATACCTCCAGCAAAATCTGTATTAGATGCAACTGAGTGAACCTGAGACCAATCTGGAATATTTGAAGTAATTGGTAAAGGCCACGTAACATTCCAACAACTCTTGATCCGTGCCTGAAACTCTAGGAAGGTTACAGGAAATTGAAATTGATTATATATTCGAGATTGTCTATAGAACTCTTCAAAGGGTAATGAAGTTAAAATAAGATTCTCAATCTCTTCTGGATGTATAAATCTTTTCCATCTTCGAAGCTTTTTGATATTCCCGAAAAACAAAGTCCTGATACATAGAATATTTCTGAAGACTACTTCTGCATTCATAGACTTATTATCTCTTCTATCCAATTTGGCTTTAGAAAGAGATCTCAAGGAATCCCCAGCTTCCCTTAGACAACCCAGACGATCAGTCTCATAAGTACGACCCCAAATGAAATCTTCATTTCTCTTTCCCGATTTCAATGTATCGAATATATGGGATATAATTTCATGAAGGATATTAAAGGCTTGAGGGAAGCAAGATCCAATAGAAGGAATGATGTCGGGTATATGTTGGGGTAGCTTCAATATTTTGGCTTCATCATTGATATGTGAATGAAACTTTGTAAATGATGACATCCAGAAAGATTTTAGCTCCCCCATATAGACTGGGTGGCGTTTGGAATGCCATAGACATGCTTCAACAATCTTATACCTCATAGCTGGTTGAAGGGGTGATCTTACAGCTGAATTACTTCCAGGACTATTACCACCGGCTGTCAAGATAAGTGAATAGAATCCAGGGGCAAGAAGTATATGGGTACCGATATGAAGTGACATCTCGCATACCAATGCATTCCTATCAGAAAAATCTTTCCAGAAGGTGTCAACCTCCATTGCTTTGGTTGATATACCAAACCGAAGACGTTGCCTTCCATCTGATTTAGCGATTTGATCATAAACCTCTTTCTTTAATTGCGGGGCTTGTTGAATTATGGAACAAATGGCCGAACGACTAACCAAATGAAAATAATCATTAAAAACCGAATGATTTTCGTCCAGAACTTGTATATGGATGCTGAGTTGTTCCTTCAAATCTGCATCATTTGTTGTAGGCTGAATGGTTTGATGGCATGTGGCGCCAGTGGCTTCTCTCAATTTCTCAATGTCAAAAAGTTTCATAATTTGTTTATTTAGTACTGCAGTTAATCCATTAGGGGGGTTCCATTCAGGTGGTTTGAAGGTAAATCCATTGTATGGGTGGGATGTGGAAATACTAAGAGATATTGAATCTGTCATTCTTTCGTTTCTCTCTGCGAGGTTGTCATTGTGAGCGGATGGTACTAATTGACGTGCCGATGAGTGGACTTCCGCCGAGATAGATTGTGACGAACTCTGTGGCAATTTTTGAGATGAAGCGGCTATATTCAATCCTTCTCGAGCACCATTGAGAGCTAACTTTTCTGAATGTACAAGTCTATCAATGGTTCTTGTGCTGTTACTTGCGGGTTGCCTTGATGATTTTTGCAAAGATCTAGCTTGCATTGCTCCACTTCCCACTTCATTCATCGCATTTCTGCTAAGTGGCGATTTGTCTGGGCCTTGTGTAGATTGATCAAGGGAACGATCACCACGAGAATTACTCGAGGTCGAGAGTAAATCCGGTATCCATGAAATTGGCTGTGGATCAAGGCTTAATGATTTTGGATCTTCGACATCGATCGTTCGATAATTGGTCATACGATGAAGTTCCTATGTTTTTATGAGCTAACGATCACATGGAGGAAAAATGGTTTTTACCTTTATAGATTGAGAAAATGTATTCCATTCTTCCAACGATCGATCCGGATATTGAAGTATCGTAGTAGCAAGGGATAGACGTGGTAAAAATGTAGTAGTACCAATTTGATAACCACACATATGGGCGATAGTTTCGAGAGTGATGTCTATTGGAACAAAATTCCCTCTTGATTCACGTCCTATACTTTCAATGATTGCAAGTCTAAACAACCATTCACTGTAATTCTGGAATGTCCCGAAGACAATTAAAGGATGTGACATACTTCTTGGATATCCCAACTCGTATGATGAGTTCATCAGTCTGCGATGAGGCGACATCTCAATTATGAATCCTTGCTCTATCGGGTTGACATTAAACACTCCTCGTATGTTACCATCATGAATCGGTTCGGTTCCTTGTATCTCGAAAAACGGTAAAGTCCTTTTGAATACCAATGCGGTAAATGGCTCCGTATCACAATATTCTTTAAAAGTTGGAAGACATATTCTACCTGAAAATCTTCCCTCTTCATCCAAGCCAAGGTTTACTGAAAGAGTTAGATACAATAGAGATAGGTAAAGGAAAGATATATCATACTTCGAATTGTGAATAGGCAAGGATCGTCGTCATGAACCCTGTGAATATTTGTATTTGTGTTTATATTTGAGAATGAATTAATCGGAGTTATTCGAATTGTACTTAGGTATCGGTTTTCTTCATTTCCAACACACAAAGATGACTTAGAAATAGCCCTCTCATGGAACATCTGCTGTGCTTTCTTAGTCAAACAAGATTCTATTATTTGAACTCCGATTCGAGATAATCTTTCAACCATGAGATCTGCCCCGGGAATGATCCGAGCATTGGTTCTGTCGAGGTATGCATCTGTGGAAAATATTTTGCCTTTCTCAGTGTAACCATGGATTTGAAATTGTTTTCTGACCTTCTATTATAGATGTGATTAGTTTATATATATGAAAAGAAAGAGGAATGAGGAGACGATAAGGAAGAATATAAGATTATTGGGAAATGTGAACATTACCTTAAGGTCTTCAACAATTCCTATATTGGATAGAACATCTTTGGGAAAGTGTCTATAAAGAAAATCTTCCCTGTTGATAGATTTCAGTACCCGTGGTCTACCATCCATACGAGCATATCCAGTTAATCTTTGTTCTGTCTTAGTGAGAGATGCATTGTGTCTCAAGGAGACAGATACTTCATGTATGTTTGAAGGATCATTATTCAATGATGTTAGTTCCGAAAATATAATCTTATGTGGATCATCCGTCCTCTTGTATTGATAGTTAATTGAATTCATCCTCAAAGTATGTTTATAATTTAAGAGTAGATTAATTGTTAGAATGAAGGCTTTGTAACAAGTTAGTTTTGGTGATAAATGGTAGATATTCAGTGTGGTACTAGACTTTGGTTATGCTGCTTCGTTAACACCAATCGAGAAAATGATGTGTAGGATTCCTACACTGCAAAGCGGGGATATTAGCCAATCATAACGATGCCAATCATCAATTAAGAAACTGAATGATAAGTAAAAGAGAAACGAAAATTTGAAGAGGGGATTTGAAGGAATATTTACTTTTGGAATGCTTGAATAATTGGTGAGTATACTAAGATTGTATTTGTAATAGAATAAAAAATCGATTGGTTCTCAAAGAACGCCTTTTGATATTGTAAAAGTGGTAGGTCGAGATACGTGTGTCCCGATAGTATATTGTAAGGAGGGAATTGAAAGAGAAAGCTGAATTAGATTATATTGTAATATATCATTTATAAAGAAAACTAAGTTTATAATGATTTTGAGATTGATATTATATAGGTTCAAATGTAGATATATAGAAGGTTAATTATTATAGAAAGAAAAGGGAAAAGTTTTTCTTTTATATTTAATTATAAAAGGTTATATGATTGATTGATTAAAAACTTTTATATATTTGGTTTATTAGTTCATCGATAGAAATTGTCGATCAATTGGAATTATATAATCGTTCTTTATACAAATTCTGTAACAGATATTGTCTTGAAAGAAAAGTCATTAATATATATTAATTCTCAGTCTCACTTTACTTTACAAAAAGAATATAATATTAATCATTATTAATTTGAAAATAGTTTAAGATTACAACTATAATTATAAAAATAATATTATTTCTTTTAAGATCATATTTGTCCTTTATATACTAACTGATCTTTTTATATTTTAATATAGATCATTATTATTTAGTTGTCTATATAAAGATGTCTCTCTTTCTTTAAATCCTTTTTTCTTTTTTTCTTTTTTTCTTTTTTTTCTTCTTTTGATTTGACATCTTTTTCTTAATAAATTTTTACTTCACTATAATGGACCTGGATGATTGAACTCGAATACCCTTAAACTTCATATACTTCATCTTATTCCAATTCATTTTACTTGACTTTATCCTTTACTATTTTTATTATGGCATTAGATTCCCTTTTTCACACTCATGGCTTCGAAGCTGTTAGTATCAATACTAGGCATCTGCCAGTCGACTTTAACTCTATACCCGGTAGTGTCTATGCACATCGAAGGAGGGTGGAGCAATGGTGTGGTTTGCTCGTCGCTCAAATCCCATATCAAGGAATGCCCCGCACAATCGTTGGTTCAATTGCGAAATCCCACGATTTATACGGTCAACCTAAGGTATACATCAGCTCTTATAACCCCCAACATGGACATCCGCAGATGTCTATTAACTGTTCGGTTCTTCGCCAATCCCATGAAGAATCCGGCTTTACCTACCTTGATCAAGTCCCTGAGAGGCAAACAATTTCTTTCCACTACTTCTACAACCGATTCACGTTAGAGTACAAGTTATTGACATCTAAAGAGGTTGAAGAAGTTGGATCTGGTCTTGGCGATTATCAGAAGATTATCGCTATACGTTTCAGTATCATAGATGGACGTTGTTTCCCTATTTCCGGACTCTCCACTAGTGCTCTCATTAAACCTGGTCTTCATCAAGGGATGTATCTTGCTATGAAACATCTCACCACCAATTCGAATTTTTAATTTTTAATTTTTTACACCAAGTTTAACCATCATTGGATAAAATATTTGCAAGATTGTGGTTACCTATTCGCTCGTTTGGGGAGTCGTACCTTGTTCCCACAGTACACTCGATTAGGTCAGTCTCACACAGAGCCTGAGTAAGTCCATCCAACATTGTTATTCTGTTCTTCAATCTAATGGTTTATAGATTGGTGTGGGATGTCGAAAACTCGCCAAGAGAACTAACGCACAACGCGAAATGTTCCGTTTCCCTGACAGCTACGAGACCACCTTCCTTTACGATGGATGGCCTGATTTTGCTATACGCAATTTTGTTGGAATCACGTAGGAGACTCTTTGGATTCTGCAGTATGCCACTCTCCTCAGGAATACCTCCATCCAGGCACAGTTCTGTGACGACGGAAGGGAGCATGTTTACTTCATGTTTTTCATCTTGCCAAAGCTACCCATATAAGGGAGCTCTCTCTTCACAATCGAGGCAGAGATTTTTATACATTTTTCAAGGAATTTATCTTTGACAGTTCCAAAGGGAAAGCAAGTAGAGAAGGAGATGAAGGAGAAGGGTGGATGGTGTGGGTCTTTGGTGAACACCAGTCGCATTGATCATCCTGGGTCTCACTTGTTGTTAGTTACACATCCAGGATACAGCTTACCAGATTACGATGTTGATGTCGGGGCGAAGAAGTGGAAAGCAAATTCTGATCCGGTTATCACGAGAGGAATCGGTACAGTTACTGTGTATCTCCGAATTGAGAAATCACTGAAATCGGTAAAGGCGAGAGTTTCTGGGCTTGCAAAATGGTCACCATCATACCGACCCCCAATTCTTCCGCCGGTTTCCGCAGAAGCCACTACAACTTTCAATCATTCAAATACCGGTTCGAATATAAAGGATATCAATAATTTCATTAATGATGATGATGATTTTGAATCAAAGAAATCCTTTCTTATTAAGCTTGGATATACCCCTTATTCACCCCAAACCACAAATACGATAATTTTCGTCAACTTTTTGATCATAATATACAGGATTGACAAAGATAATCTATATAGACTATATCTATAGACTTCCGGATAGTCAGGTGACTGCCATCTTGTCTGATTGTAGTGCAGATTGTTACGATGGCTTCGGGCCTTATATCATGTAATCACTTATGAAATCACGTGATCCTTTAAATCCCTTCGATCTTTTTAACGAAAGGATCGAAGGGATTAAAAAACAATTAGTATAAAGATCTATATAATTAAAATGGATTTTCTTTATATAAAGCTTTATATTCAAAATCAATTATTTAGTATATTTTATTATTAGTTATAAATAATATATTATTATTATTGTTATTTAAGTTTTTATTTGATATTTAATTATAAATCTATTTTGAGAATCTAGAATATTTTTATATGATTTAGATGATTATTTTTGTAATATTTTGAATATTATTATTATTTCAAATATTGATTTAATAATAACAATATTATATCTTTTCAAATATTATAATTTAATAATTCTATTATAATTAATTAGATTATTTTTAAGAGAATTAATAAAGATAAAGATATTTTTATAAAAAGAATTAAAAATTTTAAAAAGTTTATTGTTATTGAAATTTTTAAAGTTGTTTTGTTAAATTGATTTATTAGTAATTGATAAGAATTAAAGATCTTTTTATTTTAATTTGAGATTTATTTTTAATTCAATTAGAATAAATTTAATTATAATATTGATAAAAGTGTTTGGATTATTTTTTATTTTAGAGAAAAAGTTGTTAAATGGATTCAATTTTATTTTAAGAATTATTTTATTAATTTGAATGAGTTTAAGAAGCGAATATATTTTATTTAGATTATATTTGGGAAATTCAAAGGTTTTAAGAAGGAGATATAATGAATATTTGGAAATATTAATGAATTGTATAATATTGAGTTTAAGATTTATGATTTTAAATAAATAAAGTTAATAATTAATTATATTATAGAATTTAAAAGATATATAGATATTATAAAATAGAAAGAGAATATAATAATAAATTATTATTGAAAAAAGTTTAAATTTGAAATCAGATTAGAATTGGATTGTAATTGTAATTTGGATAATTTAAATAAATTGATTAAGGAATTTATTAAGATAAATAAGATACTTTATAAATATTAAAAGAAATATTAATCTTTTAATTTTTATAAGAATCGAATTATAATAAATATTATAAAAATGAAGGAATATTTTGAGAGAATAGATAATTATATAAAGAATTAATATAATTGGATATTATTTTTAAGAATAAATTATTCAAGGAAAAAATAGAAAAAAGATATAAAAATAAATTCTATTTCGAATATAATAAATCATAATATTGAATTAAAGATTGTTGAAGTAAAAAATTATTAGAAGAAGATTATTATAAGAAATTTAGTAAAAATCAATTTAATATAATCTTTATTTTTTAATTATATATTGTTAATATTATTGATTTTGTTATCGAATAATTATCGATTGAATTTGAAGAAAAGAAATCGAAAAAAGAAAGTTTTTGATAGTTTTATAAAAATCTTAATTTAGAAAAGTTATAGATTATTTATGAAATAGATATTTGGAAATTCGAAGATATAAATGAAAGTATAATAAATAAAGATTTTGATATAATAAATATCGAAAAAAGTAAAATTTATAAAATAAAATTTATTGATGAATATTTAATTTTATAGTATAAAATCATTATTAATAATTCTTTTATTGAAAAAATTATTAAAAGATATTTAGAAGAATCAATAAAAGAAAGCAAATCAATAATTGATCAAATTGATCAAAATAATAAGATAAACGAATTGAATATTGTAAAATAAATAAAATAGATTTATTATAATGTAAAGATAAATGAATGAATAATATAAATTATAATTAATTTAAGGATTATAAGAAATTTTATTGTGTTAGAAATTGTAAAGTATTTAGGAATATAATTCTAAATTAAATATCTTAAAAATTGATTTCTTTATAAATATTTTTTTAAAACATTCGAATGTTTTTTGTATTGTTTTTGTTTATCGTAATTCCTTTTGATTCTTTTTGATAATCTTGATTATTAAAATAATTATCTTTGAATAATTCTTAATAAATCATTAATAAAAATTGATAAATTTTAAAAAGGATTATATTTCCTTTATGTTAATTAATAATTTATATTCTTTGATTGTTTTTATTTTATTAAAATTCATTTTGAGATTTTTCAAGAATATAGTATAATTTAAGAATTTTATTTTTATAATATAGAATT